TCCACAACAGGAAAGGTCAGGAACAATGAGAATTGGCATCTTCTTGGAAAGGAGTGGCTTATGACCCACTGTGCTCCTACTGAGAGAAGCTGTGTGTGTGTGTGTGAAAGAGAGAGTGTGATATCAGCGGTGTGCTTTCTATGCACAGCATTATGGTGTGTGTGTGTAAACTCCGGTGTATACAGTAGCACTGGATGAGGGAACAGTGATGAAGGTCATCTCAGTGCCGAGGAGAAACACAGATCGGTGGTAATTAGCACTCTGACTGAGAGCCCAGCATCTGTGTCTCAGCCAGCCGCAGGACACACACTCACACACACACACACACACACACACACACACACACACACACACACACACACACACACACACACAAACACACAGAATCCACCTACGTGTCACCGAGATATGCCTCTGCTCTGATGGATGCTAATCTAGACTTCTGCTGGCTATACAAGCATCTCAGTTACCATCACTAATTGTCATTGAAGTCAATAGGCGTAAGGGGCAAGAAAGTGCCTTTCCCACAACTTCTTTCTCAGCATATCCACTCTCAGATCTATATCAAACCTCAGAAGTAATATCACATAGTGTTGATCATCCACGGCCCAAAGTTTGCTATGATAAGGATCAATAGAGGATATCTGCTCTTGTGAAGAGTAGAACATTTAAAAGTAGTTCTGTTTCAATGGCTTCACTACTGTTAGATCATAGAGTAAATCCACTGCCTATGACTGCAATGAGTCAGATAGTTATATACAGTAATCATCAGAGAGTCACGAATCTAGTCTTTCCTAAAAACAGCCCAGCTCTGTGTGTGTGTGTTTGTGTCTGTGTGTGTGTTTGTGGCACGGCTCGCCTGTCTTCTGACCTTTTGTCTAGATCAGGGAAGGGCAACTTTGATGAGGGTGGGGGCCACAAACAATCTGAAATCATCATGAGGGGCCGCAGTGACTGTATACCCACATCCATACCCACACAGAGAGAGAGCAAGAGAGAGAGAGACAGCATGCGTTAGAACAGGTGGGAGATAAGGACATAGAAAAGCAAGCGAACACACACGGTGAGCAATGCCACAGACAGTGAACAAGTGGTATCATGCTGTAGTCAATCTGAATACTAGCCGATAACAACCCGACAGAGCTCCACAGTTATGAGCCAGTGTCTGATTTTAAAGCTGCTGCTTTTCTTAGAAGTATTAGTATTTTATTAGGATCCACAACAGAACAGGTTATCAGGAAAGGTCAGGAACAATGAGAATTGGCATCTTCTTGGAAAGGAGTGGCTTTTGACCCACTGTGCTCCTGCTGAGAGAAGCTGTGTGTGTGTGTGTGAGAGAGTGTGATATCAGTGGTGTGCTTTTTGCGAGCAAAATATTTTTACGGGCCCTCTCCTGACAGTGGAGAGCCATATGGACGTCGAGAAAATGTTGCCATTTTAAAGCAAGTTTACTGCTATTCTACATATTTTGTCATGGGGGAGAGAGAAGATTTAGCAATTTATAACAAATTTCATGCAATTCTACAAATTTTGCCAAGGGGTGGAGAGAAAAAGGTTCAGATTTTAGTATGATATCTGAGTGAGAATCACAAACAAAATCAATGGGGGCCCGCCGGTCGGTAATGCCACCATGATTAATATAAGTTTAGAAAGCTGGCCGCTAGACTAACTTACCCCAAATACTGTAGGTTAGCTGACACGGGCTAATTGAGTGACTGTCATTGACTGACATAATAAGAGTAAAACTGCTGATGCACAACCAAATTTCGAAATTGCACCTTCAGTCTAACTCCCAACAGTAAATAGAGACTCCAATTTTTTTTGTGGCGGGGGGAATTGATCCGCGGGCCTACAAAAGGTGGTGGGCTACCTATTTTAGTTAGGTTAGCGTAGCAGCCCATAACTGAGCCCACTGAGCACAATGGGAAAGACAGTGGGATATTCTAGACAACAGTTTGCTCTCTGTAGGTGGTGGGAAGTTCATGGATAATTATTTGGTGCAGAGTCATAGGCTGTGTTTTTAATCTGATGCCATTGTGGTGGTCTCTCAGCAACATAGAATTACATATTAATTTAATAGGATCTCTGTGCTCAACACTGTGCGTTTACTGGGCCTGGTGGGCTGTGGAATGGATCTGATTCACACCAGCCGATCCACAGTGGAAGGAAACCAAACTCACTGCCCTCTTATCCTGGTTCCAGATCTGTCTGGATGGGCTTTAGCGAACGGTCTGACTGTCTGACTATGACTCTGATATAGGTCTAGTCTAGAGCATGAGAACAATCATTATTCTAGAGGCGTCTCCTTTTTGGGTTCATGAAATGCTCAAGCTACATAGAGGCACTAATGTGGTTCAATATACAGTATATTAATGACCTCTGTGTTTGTATCTCAGACAAACCAACAGTGAAAGCCTGGTGCAGTCAGGCACCTTCCAGTAGTATTTTTCTGTGTCTGCTTGCTTCACCACTGACTAATGAGCCGTACATCACTGTGTGTTTGAGAAAACCCCTTAGCGACAGGCCTGGAGGGTGTCACGGACAGACACTCACTCTGCTAATTACTGAAGCGAGAGAGTGTACTTTAACTTGACTCAGTTGACTTCATCATTACTGCTGGCAGAAACTACTATATAAAGAGAGATCTCAGTCAAAGAGAGTATAGGAGAGAAAAACATTTTGGTAATTTAGCTCATCCTGAACACTGAGCCAGATAGTGTTGTAAAGTGATTAACAATAAGTCTCCCAACCGGCGCATATTATTTCCTAATTAATCCAGCTTTTTGTCTCTGCATCTGAACTCTGTAGGCTCTTTTACTAGAAGACAATACGATGTTACTAGAATGCTAAACTATTAGAACATTCAGAGGTTGATTTGAAGCATCAGGAGAGTCTTAGCTGGATATTAATATCATCTTTGGTGTGATGATGATCATTTAAAGAGGCAACGAGACAATTACTTGTTATTATGGGATGATTCTGTAATCTGACAGGTTTTATATGTGATTCTTACAGCCTTCCCTAAAACTAACAATGACTATTACTGTATAACCTCTGACAAGACGATTGCTGAAACTTTCTACCCAAATAGCAAATACTGTATACCTTGTCTGGTTACTGCTGATTTACAGTGCATTCAGAAAGTATTCAGACCCCTTGACTTATTCCACATTTTGTTACTTTACAGCCTTATTCAAAAATGGATTAAATTATTGTTTTTCCTCATCAATCTACACACAATACCCCATAATGACAAAGCAAAAACAGGTTTTTATCCATTTTTGCTCATTTTAAAAAATACTGAAATACCTTATTTACATAAGTATTCAGACCCTTTGCTATGAGACTCGAAATTGAGCTCAGGTGCATCCTGTTTCCATTGATCATCCTTGAGATGTTTCTACAACTTGATTGGAATACACCTGTGGTAAATTCAATTGATTGGACATGATCTGGAAAGGCACACACCTGTCTATATAAGTTCCCACAGTTGACAGTGCATGTCAGAGCCATGAGGTCGAAATAATTGTCCGTAGAGCTCCGAGACAGGATTGTGTCGAGGCACAGCTCTGGGGAAGGGTACCAAAAAATTTCTGCAGCATGGAAGGTCCCCAAGAACACATTGGCTTCCATCATTCTTGGCCTCCATCATTCTTAAAAGTTTGGAACCACCAAGACTCTTCCTAGAGCTGGCCGCCCGGCCAAACTGAGCAATCGGGGGATAAGAACCTTGGTCAGGGAGGTGACCAAGAACCCGATGGTCACTCAGACCTCCAGAGTTCCTCTGTGGAGATGGGAGAATCTTTCAGAAGGACAACCATCTCTGCAGCACTCCACCAATCAGGCCTTTATGGTAGAGTGTCCAGACGGAAGCCACTCCTCATTAAAAGGCACATGACAGCCCGCTTGGAGTTTGCCAAAAGGCACCTAAAGACTCTCAGACCATGAGAAACAAGATTCTCTAGTCTGATGAAACCAAGATTGAACACTTTGGCCTGAATGCCAAGCGTCACGTCTGGAGGAAACCTGGCACCATCCTTACGGTGAATCATGGTGGTGGCAGCATCATGCTGTGGGGATGTTTTTCAGCGGCAGGGACAGTGAGACTAGGCAGGATCGAGGGAAAGATGAACGGAGCAAATTAAAGAGAGATCCTTGATGAAAACCTGCTCCAGAGCGTTCAGGACCTCAGACTGGGGCGAAGGTTCACCTTCCAACAGGACAATGACCCTAAGCACACAGCCAACACAACACAGGAGTGGCTTCGGGACATGTCTCTGAATGTCCTTGAGTGGCCCAGCCAGAGCCCGGACTTGAACCCAATCAAACATCTCTGGAGAGACCTGAAAAAAGCTGTGCAGCAACGCTCCCCATCCAACCTGACAGAGCTTGATAGGATCTGCAGAGAAGAATGGGAGAAACTCCCCAAATACAGGTGTGCCAAGCTTGTAGCGTCATACCCAAGAAGACTCAAGGCTGTAATGGCTGCCAAAGGTGCTTCAACAAAGTACTGAGGAAAGGGTCTAAATACTTATGTAAATGTGATATCTGTTTTTAATTTCTAATAAACTTGCAAAAATTAATACAAATCTGTTTTTGCTTTGGCAGTATGGCGTATTGTGTATTGATTGATGAGGGAAAAAAAACAATTGAATCCATTTTAGAATAAGGCTGTAACGTAACAAAATGTGGAAAAAGTCAAGGGGTCTGAATACTTTCCGAATGCACTGTATATGCCCATATGATGTCACATTCAGATTTGTGTTTTGTTCTACAGCTCTGAGGCCAAGAGTTATTTTAGCATTTCAACTATTTAACTATTTAAACTCCTTCTGAAAAATACATAGTGTTATAACTTATAAGACTGTTTCGGACTCCCATCTACTGTGTCTGGTATCTCATGTAAAACAAAGTCAGTGGAATGGACAGTACATGACAGTGTCTGATCAGGACCGGGGGTGAGTTATGACGGGATATACAGCACAGGGTGTCATATGTGTTCAGATCCAGGGATAGAGGGAGTGGAAGGAACAGGCAGGTGAAATCCTCTCTCCCAGTGGCTGCTGGGTAATGCGAGCTGACAGGATGGGCATCTGAAACAGCCAGGAGTCTGACAGGTTGCCCGTCTGCTGTGGTGGGGGTCACAACCACACACGTCAAGGCCCATAATGCTTAGCAACATTCTCCAGTCTAAGGATAAGGTTATCACAGGAGAGGACAGTGACCAACGCCGAGGGAAGTGCAACGGAAGCAGAAAAGTGCAGGATGGAGGGAGGAAAAACTATAATTCACCTTACTAGGAAAAAAGCATTCTGTTGGCTTTAGACTTAGGGGGTATTTTTAGGTCAGACTGGCTGTGTAGGTAGAAAACGGAAATCCAGACGTCATAAGGCTTTAGAGAAAAGCTGGGATCTGGAATCTGTCACTCACTGCTGAGGGAGGTGGTGAGACACTACGGAGTAGCAAGACATGACATTAACATCTCAGTCACCTGATCACTCTCTAAAATGAAAAGATAAAAAATTAGATGTCCTGTACAGAGGCTCTTAGCACATACAGTACATCACATCTACTGTACAACACAGTTATCTCTGTAGGTGGGTAAGGGGCGTCTTCGGAGTGGGGGCATAGAATCAGTTAAGAGAGTTTGAGATTGAGTGCCAGAGCCGTTCGACATGAGCTGAATGCCATTTCACGGCTATAAGTGAGGAGTGTCAGATGCTGCCAAGGGGAGCAGAGAGGGAGCGAGGGGGGAATGTGGGGGGAGGGAGAAGACAGGAACGTTGAGGGTAACGGCAGTCTGAGTGCAGTTTAATTATGAGGCATGTGGTAGTGATCTGGAGAGTGCCCAGGTGCACCGTGGGAGGACAGGCTGTCACCGATCTGTCACCGCCCTCACGTCGCATGGCGACATGGGCACAGCTCTGAAAGCATGCATGAAAGCACATGCACACACACTGTACACATGAAAGCATATTTGCAAGCCAGCACGCACGCACACACACAGAGTTGTATAATCACACAGGTAAGGACTGCAAATGACAACAGCAGGAATCACAGTTTCCCTTGCAACTTCACACAAATCATCCCAGAAGAACAAGGGATCCTACCTCTCTGTAACCACATTAAGGAACGGATACAGATGGCAGACAGGTGGACATGATACAGCAGGAGGAGACAGGAGACGTGGTAGTAGGGCAAACTGTAGGACTCTGACAGTGTCACTGCATCAAATATTGTTACCAGGAAACAACTAGTCTCTGCTGATAGATTTGGTTTTAGGTGCTGAGATTAGGAAACAACAAATGAATGTGTGCATAAATAGGTTATACTTTACCGAACATATAGTTTACTGTAATATATACTGTAGATATACATCTTTAGGGGAATAAATACATTTCTTTCTTCAGCGGACCAAAACATTTCTTCCCATTGACAGTTATAGTCCTTTAGCTATTTGAAAAACCTACACCATGACAGGAAAAGATAAATAAATAAAATAAACACATTAAATGTCAAAAAGAGAAAGCCTCTGATGTCACATTTTAAAATAGTCATACTTTATTTCATAAACAATTATCTAAATTCATCTTGGGTGGACAGATACACAGTAAACATACAAAATGCTCTTAAATAACAAAACAACAATGTGGACATTCCTGTCTTGTCCTTGAGTAGAGGATGATGCAAAACTTCTGCACAAAGATGCATGATTACGAACTATGCAGCAAACTGACAGCATTGGTATAATGAATTCTCTGAAAGACAATGAAATGAAACAGCATTGCCAAAAGCTCTGAAGTCCATAGCTGTTTTCAGACACGGATTCATTATTGGCAGCATCTGCTAGCTAATGGTAATGGCAGAGTGAGGGCAGTTAGAACTTTAATTTGATATATCAGTCATCTTACAGTGAAGGCTGGTATGCGATTCACTTATATTTGCTGAAAAGTATTTTGGACAAAGTGTGAAGGAAAGCAGTTAACAATTCAATTTAAATGACTATGAATAATTTAAGTAAATTAATAAGTACCACATTTGGTCCATTATGGAAACAGTGATACCTTTGCTCATTTGGGTAGACTATAGAGTATTGAAACACAACCAAACATTGCAAATATTGTGCAAAAAATTATATAGGCCTACACTATTGTGCAAAGAATTACTGCTTTTCTAGTTCTAGAAAACAAGCTTTAATTTCTCTACCAAATAACAACACTATAACCACAGAGAATCACACAATATTCCATTTGTATATAATTCTTCGTAGATCATGTTTCCGTTAGAAATGCTTTTGTTAAGAATACACAAAATGCACACATCACAAAAGCCATTCACATATGTAATGTATATAAACACACAGGCCATGTATTGTATTGCAGCAGGTAAAAATGCAACATTCGTTGACCCGGTTTCCTTGTCCCTGAACAGAATGTTCACCATGTCTCTGTACAGGATGTGTCATCTCCCCTTCCCACCAGTGAAGAAGAAGCTACTATCGGTGAGACTCTAAGGGCAGATGGGTGAAGATGAACCACGACTCTGCTGTTTTTCTCTGTGCTGTGCCTGAGACAAACTGTGCAAACACTACTGTGTGCCCTACTATGGTAGTGGTGATGCTACTGTACTGCTCCAGGACAGGACAGGCTGTGAGTACAGACATTAGCCGGGCAGTGACGGACAAAAGAAAATATGGTGCTCACTGTGACTCATCATGGACTTTTGACCTATAGTGAATTGTAAACAGTAATGTCCCTTTACATACTTTGAGGAGAAAATGGGGACTGGAGCTGAAACTCTTTCTTTCCCCTCAGACCAGACCCACCGACTGTCCTTCTCCTGATGAAACAGAAAAGTTGTGACAGAAAAGTGCTATTTTTTGCTGCAAAGTTGGTTTTTGAGCTAGCTAGTTTGAATTCCAGAAAACAGTCTCTGATATCTGGAGGATGGCTCAAATACTGAGAGTTCTGCTGTTATGAGGTTACCAAGGAGTAGACCATACTGGAAGACAAGAGAGGGGGGAAAACACAAGAATACAAATCAATGACTGAGACTACAGTACATGATTGGACCAAACAGTAAAACCAACAACAATAACTATCAACAGTGCCAAAAATGATTCCATTATAAACTGGTCCACTGGAATTATTAAGCATTCAAGAAAGGAGTATTCAAGTGTTGTGTTAAAGTGTTTAAGAAACGACTGATTAATCCATGCATGGTTTAGTAGTGTGATCAGGCTTTCTTAGGGCCCATGCCTGGGTGCCTGCTAGATTCACTGACTTTGTTGGTGTTTCTTTATTTGAAGTTGCAATTAAAATAACCCTTTAATGTTGTGCATACAGGCTTCTCAACTAGAAAGGATAAACATTTTGCCTATTCAAAACACAAGCAACTAAATAAGCAAGAAATTGATGTGAGGTCGCTGTAATGTTATGCTTGATTAATCTTGTCGATAAACCAAACTTAAATATGTAATATGTATTTGAAGAACTGGGCTCGGATTAAGAGGTAGGCCTATGTCTTAGCGCGGACAACACTGCTAATGAAATATACAATTTGATGGTTTATTGTTATCTTCTAAATTAATTCAGCTTCCTAGCTAACTGTACCATAATAGCACATTTACTGCTTTAACTAATCACGATCACTTAGCTACTCCCAAATGGAGACATTTGCATTCATTCTGCTATCCTCTGGCCTGTGAGGCACTAATCCCTGCTGCTGTGGTGAAGCCTGAGCTCACCTGTCTGTCTGAGTTATCAATATCCATGTTTCCTAATGTAATGGAGGCACAATACGTATGGTGGCCTGGAGGTGTCATACACAGGGAAACCAGAGGCAGCTTAGACAGATGATGACCTCCATCAGGCCCAGGCTCCATCACCCCTCAGAGCTGTAGCTAGATTAGTTAGTAGCCTGTATCTACTCATCGTAGCTCATCACATGATCACTGGGCCTATTCTACTGTACAAACATCTCAATTATTACTCAGCTGTAAGGTGAAAACGACTGATTTAATCACCTGGTCACTTGATGAAGACCAAGCCTAGTCTTCAACACTGTACCAAACAGTAAGACAGCAAGCTGAACAACAGCTGAGGAAATGTGTGGGACAGACACTCTCTAGCTATTGGATCTCCCACTTACTGGTTCTGTAAAAAACCTTCAGTGTAACAACAAGCCCCATACTTGGAATCTACATTCAGCTTGACAAGAGGTTACTGTTACTGCATTAACATAACATTACATTATATCATTATATTACATTACGGCATGCGATGTGAATGAGATCACATTTCATCTCTAAACTGCTCTTCATGGTAGAGGGGACAGAGATGCTACATATGTCCTTGCTGTCAGCTTGTCATCGGTCTGTCATCGAGGTTGTTTCAATTCAACCAGTAGCTTGACTTCCACAGGCGAATATAGCATATTCCTCACTGAGGGCTTGTCATAAACATTTAAATGGAGCTCTGCTTCCTTATCAGAGCCATACAGTCATTTCTTGTTCCATTCGATTTAAACGGCTGTTGAGCTAATGAGCCGAGGCAAACCTGGCCATTGTAATTGGGAGGATTAGGCCTCCAGAGTCAATCTTTGATTTCCCATCAATCTGTGAGTGGGAGAGCATTATTCAGCTGATGCTCGATAGCTTCAGACTGTGTGTGTGTGTGTGCGTGTGTGTACAGTAAGTGTGTGTGTGCGTGCGAGCGAGAGTGAGTCTGTGTAAGTGTGTGTGTGCAAGGAGAGGGTTAGAGATCATGCCAAAGACAAGCGGAGAAGTGGGTGAGAACGGGTTAGGAGTGCTACTTAGTAGACAAAGAGTGGGAAGCATTCATATACAGTAACGTTACATAACATCCATAGCAGTGGTTAAACATCAGGAGAATATGCACTCATCAAGGTTAAACAATGGAGGCCAGTCGTTATATTGGACTCCATATTGGACTCCACTTGAGTGACTGCCTCCCCTGTGACAAACACCAGTAGGTCAGGGCGGGCGGAAGTAACGGAGGTCAGAGGTTAGGGGTTAAAGGTTATCTCCCTGAGGAGGCCCGTTCTCCAGACAAGGCTGGAACAGTGAGCGGGAAAGATTCACAGGTGTGGTACAGTGGTGTGTGCAGGGGACAGGGCACCGTGTGGCAGTGAGGGGGTCAGTATCACGAGGTGACAAACACACTGAAGAGAGACTCACTACTAGAGGAAGGTCCGGTCCAGCACACGCTACAGCCGAGAGGAGGAGAGTCACATGACCACATTCAACACTTCTGATTGGTCAATTAAAGACGCTCTGTGCCTCTGGTGAGAGGTTACTAGTACTCCAGGGGCTGTGGGGTCCATTCCATTTCAATTTAGTCAATGAAAGTGATTAATGAAAACCTTTTATTAAAACGTTTTAGTTTGGGAATTGAAAATTACCCAATCACTACCTGAATTGGCTAAACCGAAATGGAATTGACCCCAATCCCTGGTTGCTGCCCTTAGGGCTGCAGGGCCAATACATTGTGACTATAGCATATACCATGTAATGTACAGTCGTGGTCACAAGTTTTGAGAATGACACAAGTATTGGTCTTCACAAAGTTTGCTGCTTCAGGGTTTTTAGATATTTTTGTCAGATGTTACTATGGTATACTGAAGTATAATTACAAGCATTCCATAAGTGTCAAAGGCTTTTATTGACAATTACATTAAGTTTATGCAAAGTGTCAATATTTGCAGCGTTGACCCTTCTTTTTCAAGACCCTGGCATGCTGTCAATTAACTTCTGGGCCACATCCTGACTGATGGCAGCCCATTCTTGCATAATCAATGCTTGGAGTTTGTCAGAATTTGTGGGTTTTTGTTTGTCCACCCGCCTCTTGAAGATTGACCACAAATTCTCAATGGGATTAAGGTCTGGGGAGTTTCCTGGCCATGGACCCAAAATGTTGATGTTTTGTTCCCACAGCCACTTAGTTATCACTTTTGCCTTATGGCAAGGTGCTCCATCATGCTGGAAAAGGCATTGTTGATCACCAAACTGTTCTTGGATGGTTGGGAGAAGTTGCTCTCGGAGGATGTGTTCGTACCATTCTTTATTCATGGCTGTGTTCTTAGGCAAAATTGTGAGTGAGCCCACTCCCTTGGCTGAGAAGCAACCCCACACATGAATGGTCTCAGGAAGCTTTACTGTTGGCATGACACAGGACTGATGGTAGCGCTCACCTTGTCTTCTCCGGACAAGCTTTTTTCCGGATGCCCCAAACAATCGGAAAGGGGATTCATCAGAGAAAATGACTTTACCCCAGTCCTCAGCAGTCCAATCCCTGTACCTTTTTCAGAATATCAGTCTGTCCCTGATGTTTTTCCTGGAGAGAAGTGGCTTCCTCACTGCCCTTCTTGACACCAGGCCATCCTCCAAAAGTCTTTGCCTCACTGTGCGTGCAGATGCACTCACACCTGCCTGCTGCCATTCCTGAGCAAGCTCTGCACTGGTGGTGCCCAGATCCCGCAGCTGAATCAACTATAGCATGACAGAGTGATCTCCAGCCTTGTCCTCGTCAACACTCTCCCCTGTGTTAACGAGAGAATCACTGACATGTCAGCTGGTCCTTTAGTGGCAGGGCTGAAATGCAGTGGAAATGTTTTTTGGGGATTAAGTTCATTTTCATGGCAAAGAGGGACTTTGCAATTAATTGCAATTCATCTGATCACTCTTCATAACATTCAGGAGTATATGCAAATTGCCATCATAAAAACTGAGGCAGCAGACTTCGTGAAAATTAATATTTGTGTCATTCTCAAAATTTTTGACCACGACTATACTGTATGGCTATGTTAACATAAACAAGTTGACGTTGTGAAAAAAGAGCCGGTATCTAGGAGGCCCACTGCTGGCTGCATGGCATACTGAAAGGGCATCATGTCCTTGTGAATTCAGATGCTGGTTTAGGCACAATACAATTCCATTATTGGAGTCTTTAAACATCCAATACAGCATAAACACACTGGTCAAATAAAATCAAAGTTTATTGGTCGTGTACACAGATTTGCAGATGTTATCGCAAGTGCAGCGAAATGCTTGTGCTTCTAGCTCTGACAGTGCAGTAATAATACCGAGCAATACAAATCAATACGGACATAGCATGTCTGGAAAAAGCATGTAAAAGCAGTAGTGGAAAAAGTACCCAATTGTCATACTTGAGTAAAAGTAAAGATAACTTAATAGAAAATGACTCAAGTAAAAGTGAAAGTTATCCAGTAAAATACTATTTGAGTAAAAGTCTAAAAGTATTTGGTTTTAAATATACTTAAGTATCAAAAGTAAATGTAATTGCTAAAATATACTTAAGTATCAAAAGTAAAAGTATAAATCATTTCAAATTCATTATATTAAGCAAACCAGAAGGCACCATTTTTTAATTTTTTTTATTTAAATTTCCGGATAGCCAGGGGCATACTCCAACATTCAGACATCATTTGCAAATGAAGCATTTGTGTTAAGTGAGTCCATCAGATCAGAGGCAGTAGAGATGCCAGGGTTGTTCTCTTGATAAGTGCGTGAATTTGACTATCTTCCTGTCCTGCTAAGTATTCAAAATGTAACTAGTACTTTTGGGTGCCAGGTAAAATGTATGGAGTAAAAAGTACATTATTTTCATTAGGAATGTAGTGAAGTAAAAGTAAAAGTTGTCAAAAATATGAATAGTAAAGTACAGATACCCCAAAAAACTACTTAAGTAGTAATGTAAAGTATTTTTACTTAAGTACTTTACACCACTGTGTAAAGGCATGTAAAGCCTGTACTAAACACATGAAAAAGTTACAAGAGGAGTAACAACTTTACTCTACTTAGGCTAGATGTACTGTATATAGTTGTTATCACTTTGAGGTGAACAATGACCATTGTCTGTATCCTAACACATTACCAAACAACAAAAGTGCATTTCTGGCCTCCCGAGTGGCGCAGTGGTCTAAGGCACTGCATCGCAGTGCTAGCTGTGCCACTAGAGATCCTGGTTCGATTCCAGGCTCTGTCGCAGCCGTCCTCGACCGGGAGACCCATAGGGGCGGCACACAAATGGCCCAGCGCCGTCCAGGGTAGGGTAGGGTTTGGCCAGGGATGTTCTTGTCCCATCGCGCACTAGCGATTCCTGTGGCACGCTAACTCGGTCGCCAGGTGTATGGTGTTTCCTCTGGCACATTGGTGCGGCTGGCTTCCGGGTTAAGCGGGCACTATGCGGCTAGGTTGGGTTATGTTTCGGAGGACGCACGACTCTCGACCTTCACCTCTCCCGTGTCCGTACGGGAATTGCAGCGATGGGACAAGACTGTAACTACCAATTGGATACCATGAAAAAGGGGGTAAAAAATAAAATAAAAAATATTGTGCATTTCTCACTCACCAGTACAGATAGTAGAAGAAGGAGAGGACGAAGAAGGACATCTTGCACCAGGCCTCTTTTTGGCAGAACTTGAGTGTGTCCCCGTTCATGACCGAGGCTGGGTCGTAAAGGAGCTCCTTAGTGTCTGTGGGGCTGTGGAAGTACCTACCGAATAGGGACACGACACACGAGGGGTAGTTGACCCGTAGAGATGGAGGGACGGAGGGGAAGATGGAAGGAAGAATGGAGAAATGGAGGATGAGTAGGGGGGACACCCTCTTTACATGAAACATCTGACTGTTCATGATTAGTATGATTAAGTTGTACATGATTAAAGGTTCTAGTAATTGCAATGCATGATTTATGCATATAGGTACATGCATTTAATTATGTTAATAGATACATGAACACGTGGTTTATAATGATTTACCAATAGTTTGCTAATGACTAACAAACTATTCAGTAATGGTTTATAAGTCGTTTGTACTAGACAGACTATTAAATAAATTGTGACAGGGTTTTTAAAATTCATGTGGAACAAGATTGCTGTAAATGAGAATGTGTGTGAGAATGTGTTTCCCGCCAGTTTAATGTACCTGATGATAAAATAAAAGGTTAGTCAATCATAAATAATACAAAATCATAACCATTCTGCCCATTCCATTTCTACTAATGCACCTTGTAATACCTGAAAAAAACAAACACGTAACAACAGCTGAACCTGAATCTCAACCCACTACTACTACTACTACCACCTGGTGAGTCACTCCACTAACACAGCTGCATCATATAGTACCTCTACTGTTAGGACAAGCACCACCTGAGACAGTGGTGACCTATTTCACAGCACACCATAACTCATTGCTGTGGGGTGGCCTATATTTCTACAACACACTGACTGACTCCACCTGATAGGCTGTGGGGCACCACTACCTCTCACAGCACCTGAGGTAGAGAAAGACATCCCTCCTGTAGCTCAGTTGGTAGAGCATGGCGCTTGCAACCCCAGGGTTGTGGGTTCGTTTCCCACGGGGGGCCAGTATGGAAAATGTATACACTCACTAACTGTAAGTCGCTCTGGATAAGAGCATCTGCTAAATGACTAAAATGTAAAATGTAAATGTAATCCCTCTCTGTGACAGTGAGGGGGGTGTGGTAGGGGATAGGGAGAAGCTGTCTGTACAGTATGTGTGCTACAGGATGAGCTCAGCTCAACACACAGAGAGAGCGGGATCCCGTCTACTGTACACACAAAAAAATAGGGATTCATAAAGAACCCTTTGAGCTCTTTAATGGTTCGTTACAGTTCACAAAACGGTTCTTTGCTCTTTTAGTGATAATTAAAATGCTCATGGTTCTTACCCCCTTCCATAGACATACACAGTAATTATGATGACTTCCGGAGGACGTCCTCCAATCTATCAAAGCTCTTGCAGCATGAACTGACATGTTGTTCATCCAATCAAAGGATTAGAGAATTAATCTAGTACTGAAATCATAAGCTACAGCTAGCTAGCACTGCAGTGCATAAAATGTGGTGTAGTTGACTCAAAAAGTTTTGTCAAATATTAAGAAGAAGCAGCAGAGAGAGATTTTTTTTTACTTTCACTTATGCTAGCTAATGCAGCTAATTTAGCCTACTCAACATCCTGACTCAAAAAGAGAGGAATTATATTTATGTTAGCTAGCTGGCGAAGGCTATCCAACACGTCCAATTCAAGGTAAGCTTTCGGTTTTATAAATGTATTGCCACCGGGGGCCGTCGGTGTAACTGCTAAACTGCTTGCTGTACACTACTGAGTGATTATACACATGGATTGGATTGTGGGTTTACTAACGCATTAGTTATTGTAGCTATGTTGACTATGATGTTAGCTCATATGGTGACAACAATGTAGGCTGTGTGTAGCGGTTATGGTATGACATTTTTTTTTCTTTTCGCTCAGCCCAGTCAAAGCTATTTGCTGCTCTGGCACCCCAATGGTGGAACAAGCTCCCCCATGACGCCAGGACAGCGGAGTCACTGACCACCTTCCGGAGACACTTGAAACCCTACCTCTTTAAGGAATACCTGGAATAGTATAAAAGTAATCCTTCTAACCCCCCTCCCCCACAAAAAAAATAAATAAAAAATAAAATAAAATAAGTGGTTGTCTCACTGGCTATCATAAATTGAATGCACCAATTTGTAAGTCGCTCTGGATAAGAGCGTCTGCTAAATGATGTAAACGTAAATGTAAATGTCACAGACAGCTGCTGTGTTTTGCACCGAAGTCTACAAGTGATAATGATATATGACTATGGCCAGTGACGGTGTCTTGTAAAAGACTCATCTAGGCCTTGCGTCAATTGAGAACAGTTGGCTAAATCAGTCAGTGGTTCTCTCCTCAGGGACCCCCAGCTGTTCCAGAGGGAGCTCACTTGATTCAACTTGTCAATTAACACAATAATAATAATTAAATGTTAACCATATAATATGGCTGACCAGAATAAAAAACCCTTTGTGGTTCTTCAAAATAATCTACAAAGAACCTTTAAAATTGAGAAAGGTTATTTATACAACCCTTCTCCATAAAGGTTCTATAAAGAAGGTTGTAACCATAGCGGAACTGTTTTTGGTGCTATATAGAACTTTTTTTTTATGGTTCTTTATTGCACCATACAGGTTCCATTTAGAACCTTATGAGCATGGTTCTTTATTGAACCTTCAAAAAAGGGTTCTATATTGCACCAGAAAAGGGTTCCGCTATGGTTACAAGCTAAAGAACCCCTATCTGGTACTATTTAGAAAAATAAATGGTGTGTGCAGAGACTGGAGATGGGTACACTGGGGGTTTGGGGAGGGAGAGAGGACCAGCTCAGTCTGACTATCGAGGCACTATGCTTGGCTCTGAGAAGAGAAGGTGACTGTTCACTGGCACATTTTGGAGGCAATGGAAGCCAACCAAATTTTTGGGAGAGCGCGATGCTCCTCTTTTGATGAGGCTATGGAATTGGCCTTAAACTGAGACGTCTTTCTCAGAAATGTAGCCACTGCTTTACATCGGCATGTACAGTATGTATCTGCTCTACACAGGAAGTGGTGCTCCGTTCCACCGTGTTGCTGCTGCTAAACCTACATCTAAACCTCTCTACTATCCTGTGTTTCACTGAGCCCCTGCTGCATGTGGACGTGGGGAGGAGAGGCTGGCAGAGAGGCAGAGCCAGTGGGGGCTGATTGAGAGGAGAGGAGGGGGACGAGCTGAAGACATCAGGCATCAGCTGTGCTCACTGGGAAGGAAAACAGAAATGGACAGATCTGTGGCTGCTGTGGGTCACCCTCCCCCATATCTCTGTATCTCTCTCTCTATGTCTTCATCCTTCTGTTGTTTTCTCTGTGCCTCTCTTTCTTTCTCTCTCCCTCTCTCCCTGTCTCCCCTCAGCTGTGTAAAGAGAACAGCATCTATAGCCACTGGGCATCTGGCAGAGTCTGCAATTAATGAGACAGTGAGTGCTGCTGTGTAACTTCAACCGCCTGAGCAAAACAATCACAGAGTTCTGCAAGTGATTCACATCCAATAACGAAACAACAACAATCCCAAAGAAGGGAGAAAACAACATATTAATGGGAGGAAGCCTTGACAGGTGACCAATTTTCAGGGTGGGATTTCAGGGTATCATAACCAAAGTCACACACAGCCTGTCTGCCACATTACAAATGCTCAAGTCATTAAATAAATACCTACTTTTTCTTTATTGTGGTAACTTTTGAAAAGTTCCTTTGATTTTTTTTAAACAAAAAATTACAAAGGAGTTCAAACCACAAGGCAAGGTCTTGAAAGAGTGTTTTTCCCTTTGTTGAATGGAGACAAAACCATCTGTTATCATATTTACAATCACTGCAGACTGTACTGCACTTCCTCAGCAAAATGTATGTCAATGTTTTATGTTGGCCTTTGTTTGTGTACTCTTATTACACCCAATGAATGTCCATGTGAATATTTTAATATCAGTGCTTATCTTCTGGGCACCATAATGAATTCATTACATCTTATAAAATGAAAGACAAAGATGGACTAGTCCAGCTTCGATAGTTACCTCCATGTATTGTAGAAGAAGAGCGGGATGTTGAGGCCTACTGTCAGCCACTCCTGGGCACACAGGAACATGATACAGAACAGCCCATGGATAGAGTACTCTGGAAGCACCAACTGGCAGGGAGAGAAGGAGGGAGGGAGGGAGGGAGGGAGGGAGGGAGGGAGGGAGGGAGGGAGGGAGGGAAAGAGAGCAAGAGGGGGGGGGGAGAAGATGTAAAGTGAAAGAGAAATGCTCTTGAGAGAGGTCATTTCACATAAAATCTTCTCATTCACAGATTATTCATCACCAATTGACATGGCGTTAGGGCGGCGCTAGTGTCAAACACACGTTAGTTTGTAATTTCGGCATGTTTTTTATTTATTTATTTTATTTAACCTTTATTTAACCAGGTAAGCCAGTTGAGAACAAGTTCTCATTTACAACTGCGACCTGGCCAAGATAAAGCAAAGCAGTGCGATAAAAACAACAACACAGAGTTACATATGGGGTAAAAAAACATAAAGTCAAAAAATACAACAGAAAATATATATACAGTGTGTGCAAATGTAGCAAGTTATGGAGGTAAGGCAATAAATAGGCTATGGTGCAAAATAATTACAATTAGTATTAACACTGGAATGATAGATGTGCAAGAGATTATGTGCAAATAGAGATACTGGGGTGCAAAAGAGCAAAATAAATAAAAATATAGGGATGAGGTAGTTGGGTGGGCTAATTTCAGATGGGCTGTGTACATGTGCAGTGATCGGTAAGGTGCTCTGACAACTGATGCTTAAAGTTAGTGAGGGAGATAAGAGTCTCCAGCTTCAGAGATTTTTGCAATTCGTTCCAGTCATTGGCAGCAGAGAACTGGAAGGAATGGCGGCCAAAGGAGGTGTTGGCTTTGGGAATGACCAGTGAGATATACCTGCTGGAGCGCAGACTACGGGTGGGTGCTGCTATGGTGACCAATGAGCTAAGATAAGGCGGGGATTTGCCTAGCAGTGATTTATAGATGGCCTGGAGCCAGTGGGTTTGATGACGAACATGTAGTGAGGACCAGCCAACAAGAGCATACAGGTCACAGTGGTGGGTAGTGTATGGGGCTTTGGAGACAAAACGGATGGCACTGTGATAGACTACATCTAATTTGCTGAGTAGAGTGTTGGAGGCGATTTTGTAAATGACATCGCCGAAGTCAAGGATCGGTAGGATAGTCAGTTTTACGAGGGCATGTTTGGCAGCATGAGTGAAGGAGGCTTTGTTGCGAAATAGGAAGCCGATTCTAGATTTAACTTTGGATTGGAGATTCTTAATGTGAGTCTGGAAGGAGAGTTTACAGTCTAACCAGACACCTAGGTATTTGTAGTTGTCCACATACTCTAGGTCAGACCCGTCGAGAGTGGTGATTCTAGTCAGGTGGGCGGGTGCCAGCAGCGTTCGATTGAAGAGCATGCATTTAGTTTTACTACTGTTTAAGAGCAGTTGGAGGCTACTGAAGGAGTGTTGTATGGCATTGAAGCTCGTTTGGAGGTTTGTTAACACAGTGTCCAATGAACGGCCAGATGTATTCAAAATGGTGTCGTCTGCGTAGAGGTGGATCTGAGAGTCACCAGCAGCAAGAGCGACATCATTGATATAAAAGGAGAAAAGAGTCGGCCCAATAATTGAACCCTGTGGCACCCCCATAGAGACTGCCAGAGGTCCAGACAACAGGCCCTCCGATTTGACACATTGAACTCTATCTGAGAAGTAGTTGGTGAACCAGGCGAGGCAGTCATTTGAGAAACCAAGGCTATTTAGTCTGCCAATAAGAATGCGGTGGTTGACAGAGTCGAAAGCCTTGGCCAGGTCGATGAAGACGGCTGCACAGTACTGTCTATTATCGATCACGGTTATAATATCGTTTAGGACCTTGAGCGTGGCTGAAGTGCACCCATGACCAGCTCGGAAACCGAATTGCATAGCGGAGAAGGTACGGTGGGATTCGAAATGGTCGGTGATCTGTTTGTTAACTTGGCTTTCAAATACTTTCTAAAGGCAAAAACTGGCCCACTCGCATTTTTCCGCCCTAACGTCAGGTTCGCCAATTTCCCTGTCTTATATCAGCTCGCTTGCGCTCAGATGGGCGGGGTGGAAATATTTGACGTGTTTGTCCCAGAAATGTTCCATACACACAAAAAGCTTATTTCTCTCAAATGTTGTGCTCAAATTTGTTTACATCCCTGTTAGTGAGCATTTCTCCTTTGCCAAGATAATCCATCCAACTGACAGGTGTGGCATATCAAGAAGATGATTAAATAGCATGATCATTACACAGGTGCACCTTGTGCTTGGTACAATAAAAGGCCATACTAAAATGTGCAGTTTTGTCTCAATGCCACAGATGTCTCAAGTTTTGAGGGAGCATGCAATTGGCATGCTGACTGCAGGAATGTCCACCAGAGCTGTTGCCAGATAATTTAATGTTAATTTCTCTACCATAAGTCACCTCCAACGTCATTTTAGAGAATTTGGCAGTACGTCCAACCGACCTCACAACCGCAGACCACGTGTAACCACGCCAGCCCAGGACCTCCACATCCGGCTTCTTCACCTGCGGAATCGTCTGAGACCAGCCACCCGGACAGCTGAAACTGTGGGTTTGCACAACCAAACAATATTTGCAAAAACTGTCAGAAACCGTCTCAGGGAAGCTCATCTGCGTGCTCATCGCCCTCACCAGGGTCTTGACTTGACTGCAGTTCGGCATCATAATCGATTTCAGTGGGCAAATGCTCACCTTCAATGGCCACTGGCACACTGGAGAAGTGTGTTCTTCACGGATGAATCCTGGCTTCAACTGTACCGTGCAGATGGCAGACAGCGTGTATGGCTTTGTGTGGGCGAGCGGTTTGCTGATGTCAACGTTGTGAACAGAGTGCCACATGGTGGCGGTGGGGTTATGGTATGGGCAGGCATAAGCTACGGACAATGAACAGAATTGCATTTTATTGATGGCAATTTAAATGCACAGAGATACTGTGACGAGATCCTTAGGCCCATTGTAGTGCCATTCATCTGCTGCCATCAGCTCATGTTTCAGCATGATAATGCAAGGCCCCGTTTACACAATTCCTGGAAGCTGAACATTTCCCAGTTCGTCCATGGCCTGCATACTCACCAGACATGTCACCCATTGGGCATGTTTGGGATGCTCTGGATCGACGTGTACGACAGTGTGTTCCAGTTCCAGCAACTTCGCACAGTCATTGAAGAGGAGTGGGACAACATTCCACAGGCCACAATCAACAGCCTGATCAATTATTTGCAAAATAAATGTGTTGCGCTGCTTGAGGCAAATGGTGATCACACCAGATACTGACTGGTTTTCTGATCCACACCCCTTTTTATTTTTTAAGGTATCTGTGACCAACAGATGCTTATCTGTATTCCCAGTAATACGAAATCCATAAATTAGGGCGTTATTAATTTATTTCAATTGACTGATTTCCTTATATGAACTGTAACTCAGTAAAATACGTCAATCATAGATAGCTCCAAACAATTACCCACAGGGCTTCACAATGTCATGGAGCAACTGGCTAGCCTGTAAATACATCGGCAATTATCATAAATGTTACACACTGATCTTGTGCCATGTCATGTGTTTGATAGCATTACTGTACATAAGCTTTTCAAATTGAGTGGGGTCAAACACATAGTGGCAAACTGCCATCAGTCACTTTAATGAATCCATCATCAGCAGCTACTAGTCATCAGAGCAGAGCTCCAAACATGGTTAGAGTCTTCCAAAGAGTGAGTACCGAGATTACAGAGTAGTCACTAGCACTAGCTGCGCCACATACAGTGAGGGAAAAAAGTATTTGATCCCCTGCTGATTTTGTACGTTTGCCCACTGACAAAGAAATGATCAGTCTATAATTTTAATGGTAGGTTTATTTGAACAGTGAGAGACAGAATAACAACAACAAAAATCCAGAAAAACGCATGTAAAAAATGTTAGAAATTGATTTGCATTTTAATGAAGGAAATAAGTATTTGACCCCCTCTCAATCAGAAAGATTTCTGGCTCCCAGGTGTCTTTTATACAGGTAACGAGCTGAGAGTAGGAGCACACTCTTAAAGGTAGTGCTCCCAATCTCAGCTTGTTACCTGTATAAAAGACACCTGTCCACAGAAGCAATCAATCAATCAGATTACAAACTCTCCACCATGGCCAAGACCAAAGAGCTCTCCAAGGATGTCAGGGACAAGATTGTAGACCTACACAAGGCTGGAATGGGCTACAAGACCTTCGCCAAGCAGCTTGGTAAGAAGGTGACAACAGTTGGTGCAATTATTCACAAATGGAAGAAACACAAAAGAACTGTCAATCTCCCTCGGCCTGGGGCTCCATGCAAGATCTCACCTCGTGGAGTTCATGAGAACATTGAGGAATCAGCCCAGAACTACATGGGAGGATCTTGTTAATGATCTCAAGGCAGCTGGGACCATAGTCACCAAGAAAACAATTGGTAACACACTACGCCGTGAAGGACTGAAATCCTGCAACACCCGCAAGGTCCCCCTGCTCAAGAAAGCACATATACAGGGCCGTCTGAAGTTTGCCAATGAACATCTGAATGATTCAGAGGAGAACTGGGTGAAAGTGTTCTGGTCAGATGAGACCAAAATGGAGCTCTTTGGCATCTACTCAACTCGCCGTGTTTGAAGGAGGAGGAATGCTGCCTATGACCCCAAGAACACCATCCCCACCGTCAAACATGGAGGTGGAAACATTATGCTTTGGGGGTGTTTTTCTGCTAAGGGGACAAGACAACTTCACCGCATCAAAGGGACGATGGACGGGGCCATGTACCATCAAATCTTGGGTGAGAACCTCCTTCCCTCAGCCAGGACATTGAAAATGGGTCGTGGATGGGTATTCCAGCATGACAATGACCCAAAACACACGGCCAAGGCAACAAAGGAGTGGCTCAAGAAGAAGCACAGTAAGGTCCTGGAGTGGCCTAGCCAGTCTCCAGACCTTAATCCCATAGAAAATCTGTGAAGGGAGCTGAAGGTTTGAGTTGCCAAACGTCAGCCTCGAAACCTTAATGACTTGGAGAAGATCTGCAAAGAGGAGTGGGACAAAATCCCTCCTGAGATGTGTGCAAACCTGGTGGCCAACTACAAGAAACGTCTGACCATTGTGATTGCCAACAAGGGTTTTACCACCAAGTACTAAATCATGTTTTGCAGAGGGGCCAAATACTTATTTCCCTCATTAAAATGCAAATCAATTTATAACATTTTTGACATGCGTTTTTCTGGATTTTTTTGTTGTTATTCTGTCTCTCACTGTTCAAATAAACCTACCATTAAAATTATAGACTGATCATGTCTTTGTCAGTGGGCAAACGTACAAAATCAGCAGGGGATCAAATACTTTTTTCCCTCACTGTACAGCGTCAGCGCAAAGCCAAGCCTCATCTTTCATGTGGTGAAATTAACGCTGTGTGAAATAAAACATTTGGAGGCTGTTTGGAGCCTACCCAATAAACATTAATGCGTCAAGTCAAAAATGAAAGCCTTAGTTTAACTTGCGTCTGCTCTGAATAGTTTTTAAATAACTTTGTGGATATGATTATGGTACGAGTCAGGTGTGTTAGCCATTAGGGTATCCCATTGATTATATTGGCACATAATGGTGGAAGACTTAGGATATCCATACGGTAATACAGCAGGATTAGTAGTTGTATTCATGTGTGTATTCAACCTGAAATTCAATGCGATTGCCACCACAGTGCTGATAAATACAATGTCTTGAGTCCTGAATGCTCGCAGTGTAAGCCCTGTTTCCAGCTCTGTGTCTGTGTAAACACACTGAATTTCACCTTTATTTAACCAGGTAAGCCAGTTGAGAACAAGTTCTCATTTACAACTGCGACCTGGCCAAGATAAAGCAAAGCAGTGCGATAAAAACAACAACACAGAGTTACATATGGGGTAAAACAAAACATAAAGTCAAAAATACAACAGAAAATATATATACAGTGTGTGCAAATGTAGCAAGTTATGGAGGTAAGGCAATAAATAGGCTATGGTGCAAAATAATTACAATTAGTATTAACACTGGAATGATAGATGTGCAAGAGATTATGTGCAAATAGAGATACTGGGGTGCAAATGAGCAAAATAAATAACAATATAGGGAGGAGGTAGTTGGGTGGGCTAATTTCAGATGGGCTGTGTACAGGTGCAGTGATCGGTAAGGTGCTCTGACAACTGATGCTTAAAGTTAGTGAGGGAGATAAGAGTCTCCAGCTTCAGAGATTTTTGCAGTTCGTTCCAGTCATTGGCAGCAGAGAACTGGAAGGAATGGCGGCCAAAGGAGGTGTTGGCTTTGGGGATGACCAGTGAGATATACCTGAAATGGGTTTTAGGTTATTATGTTTGACTCATTCAGACGGTTTTATCCTAGGCAATACCAACAATACCAGGATCTGTGCTCCTTAGCGGCACATATGTACCCTGTTGAAAACTCTAAAATATGTAACCATTTAAAAATAAAAAAAGCTTTCAGAGAAGCAGAAGGAGAGAAGCACAGGCCAAGTTAAACTACTGTATGTATGCTTAATGCTATTCCCGAAGCCCTCCACACGTTCATGTATATTTAACAAGCTAAAGGCACAACTGGAGCCTTGTCTGAAACACCTGGACTTGTACACGATGTGCATTTGCTCTATTATACATTATTCACAGTGCTACATTCTCCCTAATAACATAAACACACATTGGATCACAGGGGAGAAGCTCCTTAACAGCAGGTGATGGAGAAACTGCTGCTCAAACAGATCTATATACAAACACAACACTGCGCCATGCTCATTAAAATACAAATAGTCACGCTAAACTTTTTATTACCCCTACTTATTCTCAGCCCCCCTTCCATCAAGTCCCAATCCTACCCTTGCTGTCACTGGCTAAACTCCTGCTGAATGCAGACAAACATTATGAACCACTCCTATGCTACTGTACCAGGCTTCTGCATAACTACACTGCTCAAAAAAATAAAGGGAACACTTAAACAACACAATGTAACTCCAAGTCAATCACACTTCTGTGAAATCAAACTGTCCACTTAGGAAGCAACACTGATTGACAATACATTTCACATGCTGTTGTGCAAATGGAATATACAACATGTGGAAATTATAGGCAATTAGCAAGACACCCCCAATAAAGAAGTGGTTCTGCAGGTGGTGACCACAGACCACTTCTCAGTTCCTATGCTTCCTGGCTGATGTTTTGGTCACTTTTGAATGCTGGCGGTGCTTTCACTCTAGTGGTAGCATGAGACGGAGTCTACAACCCACACAAGTGGCTCAGGTAGTGCAGCTCATCCAGGATGGCACATCAATGCGAGCTGTGGCAAGAAGGTTTGCTGTGTCTGTCAGCGTAGTGTCCAGAGCATGGAGGCGCTACCAGGAGACAGGCCAGTACATCAGGAGACGTGGAGGAGGCCGTAGGAGGGCAACAACCCAACAGCAGGACCACTACCTCCGCCTTTGTGCAAGGAGGAGCAGGAGGAGCACTGCCAGAGCCCTGCAAAATGACCTCAAGCAGGCCACAAATGTGCATGTGTCTGCTCAAACGGTCAGGCCCAGGCATTGTAGGGAGGTCATACAGGCACGTGGAGGCCACACACACTACTGAGCCTCATTTTGACTTGTTTTAAGGACATTACATCAAAGTTGGATCAGCCTGTAGTGTGGTTTTCCACTTTAATTTTGAGTGTGACTCCAAATCCAGACCTCCATGGGTTGATACATTTGATTTCCATTGATAATTTTTGTGTGATTTTGTTGTCAGCACATTCAACTATGTAAAGAAAAAAGTATTTAATAAGATTATTTCATTCATTCAGATCTAAGATGTGTTGTTTAAGTGTTCCCTTAATTTTTTTTGAGCAGTGTAAATTCAACCTACAACCTAAAATACATTGTGAGCACATAAATTAGTAGTAGTCATCACACCAACCATGACTAAAACAGTGACATGATGTAAGACAAAGGGTTTGGTTGTGAGGCAGAGGCACACACAGCAACAAAGCTACATGATACTGTAGGCCTAACAACGAGGGGAGAGTAACACTGATGCACTGTGTTGATTGAGGGTATAGGATTGATCCAGCTGTGTGGAGCTCGGGGCTCATCTGGGCCGGGCGAGGCTAGGATCAGGGATCTGTCTCTGGGCTCTGAGCCCTGAAGGGTTCCTCCCTCCCTGTCTTCCACATCTGACCACCCCAGGGCACACATACACACACGCCAGCCGGTGGCGAGGCAGGGCTCAACCTGTCGGCCAATTAGAGCGGACTCCTGCGAGGGCCCCACTCAGCCACAGTTTAAGAGGCTTGAGTGTCAAAGTGCTTTTCAAGTGTGACTTGAGGCAGCCCCCTGGGAGGTAGAGCAGAGCAACACGTGGAGCCAGGCTCGAGTGGAGTAGAGGAGAGGCAGCCACAGCACAGCTAAGAGATGCATTCTAGCCCAATGGGGTGAGTCTACAGAGCTATAGGCCACCCCCACTCCACTACTGGTGATCTACATGAGACTATAGCCCCTCCCTCTACTCCACTCTGGTGATACAGAGCTATAGCCACCTCTCACACTTGGTGATGACGAGCTATAGCCCACTCCTGTACTCCACTCTGGTGATCTCGGATAGCCCTCCCTCTACTCCATCTGGTGATCTACAGAGCTATAGCCATCTCTTACTCCACTCTGGTGATCTCAGAGCTAAGCCCCCTCCCCTGTACTCCACATCTTGATCCACCCAGAGCTATGCCCACTCTCCATCTACTCCACTCTGGTGATCAAGGCTAAGCCATCTCCTTACTCCAATTGGTGATCTACAGAGCATAGCCCACTCTTAACACTTGGTGTCAAAGGCTATAGCCTATTTCCCTACTCCCTGGTGATTACGAGCTATAGCAACTCCCTAGCCACTCTGAGTGATTACAGAGCAGAGCCCACCACGGCTAATACATGAGGACTCGGCTGAGAGCGACTCTCTCTCTACTCCACTCTGGTGATCTACAGAGCTATAGCCCACTCTCCTCTACTCCACTCTGGTGATCTACAGAGCTATAGCCCACTCCCCTCTACTCCACTCTGGTGATCTACAGAGCTATAGCCCACTCTCCTCTACTCCACTCTGGTGATCTACAGAGCTATAGCCCACTCTCCTCTACTCCACTCTGGTGATCTACAGAGCTATAGCCCACTCTCCTCTACTCCACTCTGGTGATCTACAGAGCAATAGCCCACTCCCTCTACTCCACTCTGGTGATCTACAGAGCTATAGCCCACTCTCCTCTACTCCACTCTGGTGATCTACAGAGCTATAGCCCACTCTCCTCTACTCCACTCTGGTGATCTACAGAGCTATAGCCCACTCTCCTCTACTCCACTCTGGTGATCTACAGAGCTATAGCCCACTCCCTCTACTCCACTCTGGTGATCTACAGAGCTATAGCCCACTCTCCTCTACTCCACTCCCTCCATTCTTCCTCTATCTCTCTCCTCGACAGTCCTTCACTCCTTCTCTGCCGCTCGATGTCGGATCGCTTGCAACAGCCAATTAACACCACTTAACAGTGATACAGCCCTCAACAGGACAAAGGCCCTTAAAACATGCACTCCCCTCCATATATCTTTTGACAGTGAAGCTAACATTTTAAATGTGGCTCTATACTCCAGCATTTTGGATTGGAGATAAAACGTTTCATGAGGCAACAGTACAGAATGTCACATTTTATTTGAGGGTATTTTCATACATATCTGTTCTAACGTTTAGAAATTAAGGCACTTTATGTATCTAGTCCCCCCATTTGAGGAAGTCATAAGTATTTGGACAAATTCAATTATAGTGTAGTAAAGTAGTCAAATGTTTAGTATTTGTTCTCATATTCCTTGCGCTCATTGACTAATGCTAGCTTGTGACTCTTCAAAGTAGTACATTCTGGTGTGCCTTCTTGGTGACCGATGTGATGTTGTCCTCTCACTTGATACTGTCGGAGATGATGGTCCCCAGGAATTTGAATGATTCAGCTGTGCCAACAGCTGAGCCATCAATCTCGATGGGAGAGATGGTGGGGGGGCGTTTCCTGAAGTCAAACACCATATCCACGATTTTGTCTGTGTTGAGTTTCAGGTTATTGCGACTGCACCAGGACACAAGCCGGTCGACCTCTCCACGGTACATGGACTCATCGATGAGATGAGTGGGAAAGTTACAGAGGAACAAAGATCATACCCTCCCAAAAATGTTAACCTCCCCGGTTATTGGTAATGGTTAGAGGTTAGCATGCTTTGTTGTAGACCGTAACTTTCTCACTCATCATTATTCATGATTCATTCATGATTTGTCTTAATCATGGCATAATCAGGATTAATTTAGAAGTGTTTCGGAAACATCTTATCTACTCAATTAGAAAGAAAATGACTGCAGTCATCATTCCCCATTCAGTTCCTATAATATAAATATAATTCGAAACACAACCAAAACAAACTGTAAATGCATCCAATGACTTTGTAGAGTCACAAGCTTGATGTAATCATTGCGTGCTAGGAATATGGGACCAAATACTACACTTTTGACTACTTTAATACACTATAAGTGCATTTGTCCAAATAAACATAATTTCTTCAAAATGTGGGGACTAGATACATAAAGTGCCTTCATTTCTAAATGGTAAAACAGATATGTATGAAAATACCCTCAAATAAAAGGTGACATTATGTACTGTAGCCTCATATGACACATTTTATTTCAAATCCAAATTTCTGGAGTATAGAGCCAAATGTAAAAAAAAATGCTTCACTGTCCAAATACGTGGAGGGGAGGGGAGTGGAGGAGAGTGGAGTGGAGTGGAGTGGAGTGGAGTGGAGTGGAGTGGAGGGGAGGATATGTAGCCTTCAGTACACTCCCAATACAATGGAACCAGAGGATCAAATGGTATGAAAAGTAAACTATATTTACTAACTGTCTGCAACCATAGCACCAACCCAGCAAATCCATCTCTCTACAAGTGCCATGACAGTGCCAAGTGTTGCTGCCATTAATGGCTATGGTACAGTAAGTTTATAATTATACATTAGCATTTTGTCCATTATAGAAGGAATCATTAAATTATTTGAATTAACTTGAAGCAGAAAAGGGCTTGAAACTAACTGGTTTATCTGGTCGAGCAAAACCAGTGGCCTCTCCAGGCGCTCATCATATGAAACGCCTGTAACATATATGCAATCACGTATGCAATACTGTTCTCCGCCTCGCTCATTTGTGTTCGTGACTAATCTGGATATCGCTCTCATTTTAGCAGCAGCAAATTTCCTCTGCTGCCACCAGAGATCAAAAGAGCTCCTACTCTCCAATTACTCTCTCTCTCGTTACAGCAGCAACAATAATTAAGTGCAGCAAATAATTATACATATTTTCTCTTTAAAATATACTTATTCCTCTGAGACCCAATAGCACATGAGTCCACAGTACATTTAGTTCGTCAAACTTTGTGGATAGATGAAAAGTTGGCCCCAAAGGCTGGACTGGAAGGCCTCTGTAGAATATTAGGCTACACGTTTGCATATGCTCTGTTCTTTATGTTCTTCACATACATTTATTTCCAACTGACTTCACAGAAAGGTGTAATTTCATTACAAGCATACAGAATTGCTACTCCTTTGATAGTCATACAGTAGCTCCAAAGTCTTGTCTGAAAACATTTCTGCAGACTCTGATATTTGACATGCTTGAAGATAGAGTTAATCAGGAAAACGTATTTCTAATCAGGTTAAACATTGTTAATGTTCTGAAGATAAAAGTCTGCTGACCATTCTTGTTTTTACACATTAAAATAATAAATGTATTGGGTTTTGAATTCCATTCATTTTACATTGACATTTTAGTCATTTAGCTGACGCTCTTATCCAGAGCGACTTACAGTTAGTGAGTGTATACATCCATTCCAATCCATTCCAGTGAAAGCCATGGCCACTCTCCAAGTGTCCATATAGCAGGAGCTAGAGTGACTTCAGATGACACTTGACAAAGTAGGAGACTGGTATCTCTGCAATATTTTGCTACTAGACCTTTGATCCTGAGTATCCAGGGACATCTCAACACTCTTGTTAATGAAGTGCAGGTATCTAGGCAGTATGCTCCTGCAGAATGCTGCTGCTAGCCCCCTTTGATCTAGTGTCCAGGGACATAGCAGAAATCTGCAGGGACCTGCTCTGCTCCACACACCCCGTCTGGAAGAGTAATGGGATCATGAACACAGAGTTCAGACATGCCTTACTCACTCTTATAGCCTACTAAGAGAGGTAGAACAAGATACAATGACAGAAAAATCAGGGGCAAAGTGAGGAGATAATGGGTAGACTACTGTGTACTAGAGGATCGTATTGATCAAGACACAGGCTAGATGTAGAACAGTGTGTTTCAGCTCGGTGCTAACTAATGATAACATGCAGTAGTCCTGCGAGGCGATCTCACACCTCGACTGGCTGCACATTGACTCGACGCGTGACACACTAATGGCTCAGTCCAGCCCCCGGCCCCCGCCACGCACCCAACACTAACCCAGCCGCATCAGGCCTTGGCAAGACATATCAGCTGATTACATCCTGCATACACTCCTATTCTATTTTTAAAAGCATAGAGATTCGAGAATGTATTTTTCTATGACAGAGAGCTAGAAGGGGAATTTAAACATTAAGGTATAAGAGTTGCTTTATTTTTTATGTCTCAAATTTGGGTAAAGCCAGTTTAGCATTACATGTACAGCTAAAAAGCCACTAATGTTGGTCTACCATGCTGTTTCTCATTGTTTTCCCAGCTGTACGTCGTGGCTGCTCATGCATATTCACAATAGTCCAACTCAGCAGTGGCCTGCCAAACTGCCTGATGCCTATCCGGGACTCATCCCAGCATCTGAGAGAGATAGACTGAGAGATAGACAGAGAGAGAGAGAGAGAGAGAGAGAGAGAGAGAGAGAGACTCTCCTCTCCTTCTCTCCTCCTCTCTTCCTTGGCCACGGCACTTTAAAGGCAAAAGGCTCCAGGCAGTACTGGTTGTTCCTTCACAGTGAATTACAGCACAGAAGGTGTAGATCAGGTTTCTCTGAGACAACACAAGCAGCTCACTGCTGCTGTGACACAGTGCCTGAGGAAAGTAAAGGTCCTCTCTGTGGCCCTGTAGTACGGTAGTAAGGCGATACAGAGAGTTTGTAGTGTATACGGTGCAAACATAAACTCAACTTGATTCACTAGTCTCCCTACAGTACATCAGTGCCTGCACAGCACCATTACAACTGGAATGAATTGCAACATCTTCCTCAACGTCAGCAAGTCTAAGGAGCTGAGCGTGGACTACAGGAAACGGGGGGGGGACTTTTACAGCTGCACCATTGAGAGCATCCTGAGTGGTTGTATCACCGTCTGGTATGGCAATTGCACCGCCCTCGACCTGAAGGCCCTATAGAGGGTGGTACGGACGGCCCAGCGCATCCCAGGGGGTGAGCTCCCAGCCATCCAGGACATACATGCCAAGCGGTGTCTGAGAAAGGCCCGAAAAATTGCCAAAGACTCCAGCCACCCGAGACATGGACTGTTCTCCATGCTCCCGTCCGGCAGGCGGTACCGGTGCATCAAGGCTCAGACCAACAGACTCCCAAACAGCTTCAATCCCCTGGCCATAAGACTGTTAAATGGCTAATAACTACTGCTCTCCCTCTCTCACAGACTATCCACACTGACTCGATGCCCATCCACAGGTCTCTACCCACTCAGACATACACACCTTCACTGCCACTCTTACTCACACACACACACCCGCTCACACACTCATTACTGACCCCACACACTTAGACCCACAGGCAAAGCCCCTCACACATATGCTGCTGCTAAAATGATTATTGATTAGATTTATTACTACCATTAGGCTGCTGTTAATTGATTATTGATTGCCTTTACCATTAGTATCAATCTATTTATCCTGCTACTGGTCAATATTACTAATGTTTACATGTGTATATTACCATTTATATTATAATTATATATTATATATTATAATTATTTATATATATATATATAAAATAGTATTTATATATTCCTGCTACCAGCTGTTGTTATTATTATTATTTATCCTGCTACTAGTCTCTTTCTCCTAATCCCTGCCTGTACATATCTACTATCTAGCTACATCAACTACTCCAATATTCCTGCACACTGTACATTTGGTACTGGCACTGACCCTGTATATAGCTTACACTATCCTGTTGCTTTTATTCTTCCTTTCTTATTTCTTATTTATATTTTATTTTAAAAAATTACACTTTTGATATTGAATTGTTGGGAAGGGCTTGCAAGTTAAGCATGTCACTGTACTTGTGCATGTGACAAATAAAACAGGAAACTTTAATGAATTACTGCAGGGTTTCAGACTAACAAATATCATTCCTGTCTTGAAGGGAATTCCTTCGTTATACTGTACTGATGTTGAGCGAGTGCTGCTCTTTGCACACTCAAATCATGCACAGGGTAATGATAGTGAGATGAACATGGATTTTATGCAGAGGTCACAATATCCACCAAAGTAAGTTAACGGGCTCTACAGTCTGAACTAATGATTTGGGGGATTTCCAGAAAGACTGTCTCGCTCTGTCTAACGATGTCTATGTGCCTGTCTCTATCAGTACATTGTAAATGAAGTAGCCTAATTTGGTATACAGTATATGCAGCTCCAGGTCCTTTACAAGTATGTATTTTTTATAGTAACTCAATTGGGCAAATATCTTAATGTATATGCGTTACCGTGAGAGTGAACATGCATCTCACTATCCAACCATAACATCAAAGCAGCAACAGTTTGGACATCATACACTTGAAATAACCCAACATAAGGTCCCAGTGTGACAAGCAAGCCCATAATCACAGTATAGTATAGCACCAGGGCCTCAGTGCAGTGTACCTAACCATGTTGTACCTCCTGCTCCACATCAACAGTCCTTATAGGAGCTTCATCAAACCAGCAGCTCCTCTGTGGCCTACATCAGACACTGTAGCTATATCATCTGACTACACCACCAGACGCTTGTGTCTGTAACCTGGTACCATCTACTTTCCCAACGTGAAGCACTCATCTCATCTGTCAAGCCCAACCCGCCCTACCTCCCTCCCAGCTTCTCTGCTAACTGAAAATCCTATGCAAATGGCTTTGGAGAGATGAATGCGGCGTGAGTCGGTGTGATGGAGAGGACAGAAACCTCTGTACTGAAACATCAAAAGTAGCTCCTCGTTTGAAGAATAAACACGAGGCGCTACGGAAACCACCGGGGACTGTTCTGTGTGCTCCTCTGCTCGCTGGGCAGTGATTGGCTGTGAGGGAGATTCACCTTGACACTCACATTGAAAATAATCAATAAAAATGCTTCTTCATCCAGGAGGTTTTGTGCGACTGGGACATTAACCCTACTTGATTAGGGCGGAAAGGAGGAATGAACAAGGGATGAGAGGGAGGTCAAGGCAGGTATCCAAGTCTTCCTGCTGGGAAGTTTTTATTCTTCGACAGCCTGAGCATCAAAGCAGAGGAGTAGAGTAGCACTAAAGCAGTGCCCCAATCAAAATACTGGAGGCTACATGAGCAACTCCTGCATAAGTTACCCAAATCAATGAATGACTTAAAGAAATAATCAATGCAAACATGAATGAATCGATCCAAGATTAAACGTACAATATGAGTCTTTCAATTAATTATTAGATGAATGCAAAACTCATGCTACTGTTATAATGTACAATCACTTCATTGCAAGTATACAACAACCACAACATTTAAATAACACTATGTTCCCTACTCCTCAATTCCCAGTTCAATTTCCAATGGCAAACACACTGCACTGGCATGATTAATATTAATTCCAATTGCTTAGCGGTGGCTGTCAATCGCCAGTTGAGTGTTATTTTCCTCTCTCCCACTGCCTAAGCTATAAATATTCTGGCGAGGGGAGAAGTTGGCAATTTCACGCACCTGGGTGAGGGAGCGAGGGAGTTGAGGATACACTCAGTCTTATTCCTTATCAGTGCTGAGCTCACAAGGATTTGTTGTTTGTTCTGTCAGGATGATGCATTTCCACATGCAGGACGTGAGGAAGAGGTGTTTTTTTTTATTGACTTATTTTTATATCTCCTTCTGTAGTGTAATTATGTGGGGCTAGGAACTGGGATGAGCTGTTAGAAAGACAAGGGACTATAGTACAGTCAAGCATGAGAGATCTAGGAATATCAGGTACAAATCCATTTTCAATATCCTGTGAAGACAGATCCACACACACAGCTATCTACTAAGACACTCTAATGTTAATCCATGGTAATCCTCTCTTCCTTGGTTGTGTCATCATTTACATTCATATTTCATCATCATATCTGTGTGCGACATACAGTACAACTGTGTTCCATTAATAGTAAACACTGAAACATGCACACACACACAAAGAGGATGTATGCTTTGACTTTGATTGGGAAACAGCAGTGCAAACGACACTGAGTGTACAAAACATTAGTAACACCTTCCTAATATTGAGTTGCACCCTCTTTTGCCCTCAGAACAGCCTCAATTCGTCGGGGAATGGACTATACAAGGTGTCGAAAGCGTTCCACAGGGATGCTGGCCCATGTTGACTCCAATGTTTCCCACAGTTGTGTCAAGTTGGCTGGATGTCCTTTGGGTGGTGGACCATTCTTGATACCACGGGAAAATGTTGAGCGTGAAAAACCCAGCAGCGTTGCAGTTCTTGACACAAACTGGCGTGCCTGGCACCTACTACCATACCCCATTCAAAGGGACAAATCTTTTGTCTTGCCCATTCATCCTCTGAATGGCACACATACACAATCCATGTCTCCAATGTCTCAAGGCTTACAAATCCTTCTTTAACCTGTCTCCTTCCCTTCATCTACAGTGATTGACGTGGATTTAACAGGTGACATCAATAAGGGATCATAGCTTTCACCTGGATTCACATGGTCAGTCTATATCATGGAAAGAGCAGGTGTTCCTAATGTTTTGTACACTCAGTGTATAGCTTGATGAGCTAAACTGTGCCTGGTGGTAATATAGAAGGATTACACTCCTTATCACTTCATAACCCCTTACATTGGGAAACAGCATACGAGGTGTTCTGTTAACTCTCCATGAGCTGAACTGTGCCTGAGTGTAATACAGCAGGTCAGGATAACACTCCCCATCCATTGCCAAACAACATGTTGAAGTGTTGTGAGAAGTCTAGTTTGCTGAGCTAAACGGTGCGTGGTAGTGCAGTCTGGAGAGTTGGGACTGGAGGCTGTCTGTTCTGTCTGTGGGAGTGCAGCCTGAAAGACTGGAGGCTGTCTGTATAGTCAGACATTGTGGCATGGCGTGGGTCCAGCCAGGCACCGTGGGGGGGGAGTGGAATCCTCCATGACTCAACAGCATACAGAAATGCTCTGATTGGCTCTGAATCACCGGAGCGCAGCAGCAGCCCTCCCACATCTCTCTCCATCTCTTCCTATCTCTCCGCCTCTCTCTCTCATCTACTGTTTCTCTCTCTCTATCTCCCTTCAAATGATAGGGGAGGGAGAAAATGGAACTCCTGTGTATTTTAGGAGAAGGAATGGAGCAGGGATGCAGGCTCCACTGCCTTGGAAATGAACACGCTGGCCTAGCTGCCTCTGTGCTTCTGCTGCTGTACTTCCAGAGGTGTGTGGGGACTGGGTAGGGAGAATGGGACCAACAACAAAAAAGATAGATGAGCAGCACTCCATGGTTGGTTCTGTTGCTGTGACAACACCTCTGTTTTGCACTCCCAAACCGAACTGGGCGGGAGAAATAAAACCACCAGCTAGTGCTCCTCTGTGACTGGCTTGCAATGTACAGCACCTGCTGCCATAACACAAACCCCACAATCTATCAAAAACAAGACCAAGATAATTTTTTGTGTAATATTGTATGGGGTGATTCACATCCGCAAATACTGAGAGAATGCATTTGGAACAGACAAGGAACACACAATAACCATTTCTACAGTAACATAGTCCATGTACTGCTGAAGTGCGTACGGCCCAGTACATCACTGGGGCAAAGCTCCCTTCCATCCAGGACCTCTATACCAGGCGGTGTCAGAGGAAGGCCCTCAAAATTGTCAAAGACTCCAGTCACCCTAGTCATAGACTGTTCTCTCTGCTACCGCACGGCAAGCGGTACCGGAGTGCCAAGTCTAGGTCCAAAAGACTTCTCAACAGCTTCTACCCCCAAGCCATAAGACTCCTGAACAGCTAATCATGGCTACCCGGACTATTTGCACTGCCCCCCCACCCCATCCTTTTTACGCTGCTGCTACTCTGTTAAGTATTTATGCATAGTCACTTTAACTCTACCCACATGTACATATTACCTCAACTACCTCAACTAGCCGGTGCCCCCCGCACATTGACTATGCAACGGTACCCCCCTGTATATATAGCCTCCCTACTGTCACTTTATTCTATTGTATATATAGCCTCCCTACTGTCACTTTATTTTTACTTCTGCTCTTTTTTTCTCAACACTTTTTTGTATCTTCGAGAAACAATGACATCTAATGAATAAGCTCTATGACTCCAGGCAGGGTAGGAAATTAAATTCTGATGTGGTGTTGGTGTAGCTCAACACTCTCACTGGGTCAGTACCTCAAGGACACAGTAGTCCCCAGGAGTGACAGATGAGCCTCAGGCAGTGTTGACAACACAGATAAAGAACAACAACGGCCTCCACTCCACCAGCCCGAGGCGTACACACGCACAATCCTTCTAGTAGCAGAGCAGAGGTAGAGTGAAGCCTCAACGGCCACTGAAACAGATGTCATACTGAGAATGAGATGAGAGAAGCCTTTTGTCTCAGAGTCCCCGACAGTAACAGGCTCACATACCACAGACATTGGACAGACACAGTCTATTATAAAGACAAGACAGCTTTCTGAATGCAAGGGCAAGCTTTAATCCTTACCAAAAACGTAAAGTTTCCTCATTCATAATGTCAGTTGACAAAACAGGAATTTTAAAGGAAAGTGAGAGATTGTGGAAATTGATCTACTTCCCCAGAGTCAGATGAACTCATGGATACAATTTGTATGTCTCTGCGTCCAATATGAAGGAAGTTAGAGGTAGTTCCGCGAGCCAATGCTAACTAGCGTTAGCACAATGGCGGGTCTGCGTACACACATCTATACCCACATATGCAGTCAGAGCCGGCCCTAGCCCTAAGTGAAATTTTGTTGTAGTGATCATAATATAGAAAAAACAAAGTTCCAAAGACTGGACCTAAAATTGTGTATAAGCGATCATACAAGAGGTTTTGCAATGATTCCTATGTCAAAGATGTGAGAAATAGTTTTTGGTCCGATGCCGAACTTGCAGCATTTATGAAATCACTTCTTCCGGTTACTGATAGGCATACGCCCATCAAGAAACTGACTGTTAGAACTACCAAATCCTCATGGATAGATGATGAATTGGAAAACTGTATGGCTGAGAAGGATGAGGGAATAGCAAATAAGTCTGAGAACACAGCAGATTGGCAAACATACAGTAAATTGAGAAATCACATAACTAAACTAAACAAAAAGAAGAAGAAACTATATTATGGAACAAAGATAAATTAGTACCTTAAAAGAAATTCTAGGCAAAAAAGTGAACTCAGCTCCATCCTTCATTGTGGCAGATGGCTTGTTCTTAACAAAACCCTTTAATTATTGCCAACCACTTTTATAACTTTTTTGTTGATAAGATTAGCAAACTTAGGCATGACATGCAAACAACAAATGCTGAGCCTTCATATTCATGCATATCGGACCAAATAATGAAAGAGAAGCACTGTAGCTTTGAGTTCCGCAAAGTTGGAGTGAAAGAGGAGATTTTTTTTGTTGCTATCTATAAATCAAACTGACAACCTGGGTGGTAAATTCCTGAGGTTGGAAGCAGAATACATTGCGACTCCTGTTTTCCACATCTTCAATTTAATCCTAGAAGACGGTGTGTTCTCTCAGGCCTGGAGGGAGGCAAAGGTCATTCCGCTGCCTAAGAATAGCAAAGCACCCTTTAAACCATTAAACAGGCGACCAATCAACCTGTTACCTGCACTTAGCAAACGTTTGGAAAAAACAGTGTTTGACCAAATACAATGTTATTTTACAGAAAACAAATTGGCAATGGACTTTCAACATACTTATAGGGAAGAACACTCAACATGCTCAGCACTGACACAAATGACTGATGTTTGGCTGAAAGAAATTGATAACAAGAAGATTGTGGGAGCTGTTTTGTTAGACTTCAATGCAGCTTTTGATATCATTGAGCATAACCTATTGCTGAAAAAACATAGGTGTTATGGATTTACATCCTCTTCCTTTTCATGGATTGAGAGTTACCTATCTAATAGAACTAGAGTGACCACATTAAAATACCCAAATGTGGGACAACAGGATGGTTTTGCTGGACATTCGTGGGACACACACAAATCCCGCTCATGGTGTAGTGCAAATTTGTTAAGTGCCGGAGAGCAATCAAAATGTAAATTATTTCATAATTTCTCAAAGTTTGTACCGACAGATGTACCCTATTGAATATCATGATAAAATATGCATAAAATGCATCCTCCAATTGCAACGTCTTCCTATGCCCACACATATTGTCTCAAGAAATGTTTCTATTTTTAATACCCTCAAACACCATTTCAAAATAGGCCATAGCATCATCACTGTAAATCCTGAATGACAATTCTTCACATTTTAGCCCAGTGAAAATGTCCAAACTGTGTCTGCATGCCAATAATTTGATATCAATCAGTTTCATGGGAATATGCATTTACATCTTCTTGAATTACTGTTTCGTGAGCAAATTAGAGCAGATGGTGTTAACAAACTATAGAGCCTTCCTGTGTTTTGTTTCAATCAAAGCATATTCTGCCTAGTGGCGCACTGTTTTGAGAATTTGGCTGTGTGAGATTTTTTGGGGGACTATTCAGCTAACCATCCTAAAATCTCATAAGAAATTAGGTGGTGTTTTTGATGTAACAGCAACATTATACTAAGCTAATATAATTGGCTATGTTATGTAGAATACTAATGAATCATTATGTGATCTTCCAAGACCTTGATTTAGCTTTGATCTAACTTTACTGAACGAGCACCATTGAGAGAAGTGCTGCACTACACCCGCACTGCAGAGCCCTAGGCGCAACTATACTACTCTAATTCTTGCCTTGCGCAAAACTTGGTGATGCAGAAACGAGAGACCACATGTGTGGCCGTTTTATGAAAATCTGGGAATATTTGGCCAAGGAAACATTTCTGGTTGGTTTTAGTAAAACAGTTAGGAAGGGAGGCTTTTCAAGCGGGATTGAGATTGAGTGAAGTAGCAGCAAATATGTTGAATGAGAAACTAATGAGCATGGAGAGCCTCACAAGTATGACGAAATTACCTTAATTACCCCCCTTTGCTGCTATAACAGCCTCCACACTTCTGGGAAGGCTTTCCACTAGATGTTGGAACATTGCTGCGGGGACTTGCTTCCATTCAGCCACATGAGCATTAGTGAGGTCGGGCACTGATGTTGGATGATTAGGCCTGGCTCACAGTCGGCGTTCCAATTCATCTCAAAGGTGTTCGATGGGGTTGAGGTCAGGGCTCTGTGCAGGCCAGTCAAGTTCTTCCACACCGATCTCGACAAGCCATTTCTGTTTAGACCTCGCTTTGTGCATAGGGGCATTGTCATGCTGAAACAGGAAACGGCCTTCCCCAAACTGTTGCCACAAAGTTGGAAGCACAGAATCGTCTAGAATGTCATTTTATGCTGTATCATTAAGATTTCCCTTCACTGGAACTAAGGGGCCTAGGCCGAACTATGAAAAACAGCCCCAGACAATTATTCCTCCTCCACCAAACTTTACAGTTGGCACTGGGCATTCGAGCAGTAGCTCCTGGCACCCGCCAATCCCAGATATGTCTGTCGGACTGCCAGATGGTGAAGCATGATTCATCACTCCAGAGAACGCGTTCCCACTGCTCCAGAGTCCAATGGCGGCGAGCTTTACAACACTCCAGCCGACGCTTGACATTGCGCATGGTGATGTTAGGCTTGTATGCGGCTGCTCGGCCATAGAAACCCTTTTCATGAAGCTCTCAACAGACAGTTCTTATGCTGACGTTGCTTCCAGAGGCAGTTTGGACCTCGGTAGTGAGTGTTGCAACCGAGGACAGACGATTATTTTTGACTTGTTGGAAAGGTGGCATCCTATGACGGTGCAACATTGAAAGTCACTGAGCTCTTCAGTAAGGCCATTCTACTGCCAATGTTTTTCTATGGAGATTGCATGGCTGTGTGCTCAATTTTATACACCTGTCAGCAACGGGTGTTGCTGAAATAGCCGAATCCACTAATTTGAAGGGTTGTCCACATATTTATGTATACTGTATATAGTGTATATCTTTTCATAAGTGCAACGTGACCTCAAGAGACAGGTTGGAATGTCTGACTGAAATACGGGACAAATCAACCTTTTTTTTCTAAATTAGTGGTGTTTGAATTTGTTGATAGAAATGTGGGACATGATTGTTTGTTTGCGGGACAGGGGACAATGGGCCAAAGTGCGGGACTGTCCCGCACAATTCAGGATAAGTGGTCACCCTAAATAGAACAGAGGGTTTTCTTTAATGGAAGCCTCTCTAATGCAAATTCGGTTGAGTGTGGTGTATCGCAGGGCAGCTGGCTTGGGCCATTAATGTTTTCTGTTTTTACTAATGACCTTCCACTTACCTTGAATAAAGCCTGTGTGTCTATGTATGCTGACGACTCAACAGTATACCCGTCGGCTACGACAGTAAAATAAATAACTGACACCCTTAACATAGAGCTCCAGTTAGTTTTAGAATGAGATAAATGTTTTTTTATATGATATCTGAGTGAGAGTGACTAACAAAATCAATGTGGGGCCCCCTGGTCGGTAATTTGACCATGATAACTACAAGTTTAAATAGCTAGCTAGACTAACTTACCAATCTAAAACAATTTTGCTGACATGGGCTAATTGAGTGACTGTCAGTGACTGACATAACAGGACTGCTGATGCACAACCACATTTCAAAATTGCACCTGGTGTATTCTACTATTCTAACTCTCACAAACTAGCGGGCCACCAGTCTATATATAGAAGATTGTGATCATTTGCTGGCTTTAAAATATAGGCTAAATGACATATGCAAATGAGTAATAAAGGAAATGTTTTAAATAGGACAGTGTTCAGTGGCTATTTACCTTTCTCAGCAGGCAGCAAATCCTCTCAATGTTCCGGAGTCGCTCTCTCTGTTGGAGCCAAACAGGAAACAGTTACATCCCCTGCATTAAATATACATATGGAAACACAACAGTTTTTCTGATGAGGTGCAGCAGTCCACAAATAGGGGTATTTTACAAGCCTTAGTGACTAGTAGTAAGTACAACTGTCTAGTCACTAAGGCCCGTAGTACACTTGTAACAAGCTGTGGAGAAACAGGAATGTTTCAGGAGTGTGTAAGGTATACAGGAGTGTTTTGGGTAGCATGATGCCACTGGCCTGTGAAGCTGGATTTGCACTGTGTAGGCCGACAGTGAGACATGGATGATACTGGTTCCTTCCTTCCCACCTCTGCTGAGCTATAAGCAGACTCTGCATCTTCCTCTGCCTGTGTCTGTCTGTGTGTGGTGATGGGGCTTTGTGGAGTCAACCCAGCACTGCCTATAGCACTTGTCTACCCCCCACTTCTTGGCCCAGCACTCCTCTCTCTGCAGAATTACAGTGTAACCAGAAACTGGCGAGGACATCAAGAGCCATATTTAGAAAAACCAATGCCAGGCGAGGTGAGGAGGCGGACACCATTTCTTGAATGGCGCATGTGAGCAGCATGGCATATGGCGATTACATAGAAACGTTCCCTATCTTGGGCAGTGCTTGTTTCTATGCCTGTTGTGGATGGATACCTCGCCCTGAGAGTCACAGTCTGTATACGTGTCTCTATCAGACCAAATTGACTTGATTGATGTGCGAAATTGTCGTACTTGGACTGATGTGCTATCTTGAGGATAAATTATATATGAATGACACCCAAACAGGCTTATCTTACTCTGCAGAGTGCTAGTGAAAAGTACCCTAAAACAGGGAGGGGGGGTTGAATGTTATTTCCCAAAAGCTGCATTCATCAAGACTAAACATACATATTTGATTAGTATTTTGGAGAGAAAAAAACACTACAGAAGAACTTCCTCTGATGGGATGTATAATTAATCATGGAGTCGCCTGTACGCCTCTAAATAATGTAATCTGAGGTAACACTACTGTAGAAAGCCAGTCTAGCGTACTTTGGAACTAAGACCATTGTAACGGTTCTACAGGCTCTGTGGTGGAAATGTGCAGTCTGGTGGCTAATCTCCATTTGAGCATCAGATAGTTTTTCTTTGCCGTTTTTATCTCTCATCTCAAAATCTGATACAACACATAATCTACACATCAGTCTGCTTTGAATTGTTCTGGGTAAAGACGGTGGAAAATACCTCCTTTTACTGTACTGTTTTTCTATTTTAAAAGTGCAAAGTGTATTGACATGTTTTAAATGCACTTGAAAGTTTCACTTTAATTAAGTCCCCTGCCACTGAGGGAAATTTGCTATTATATTAGGAGTAGAGGTAGGAAAGAGGTTGGGGTTGAGGAGACGTGAAATTGAGCTGCAGATAGTCTCATATACATACATGAACTCAAATCTGCAGAATATTCATGTCCAAGCACATTTTGCGTCGCGTCCTCCTCCCCATGTCCTCTCACGACCCACTGCAGTACATCAACATAAGAAACCACAACATCTATGACAAGTTACCATAAATTAGCCCTATTTTGGGACTGCAGCACCTAATTTGGACGAAACTGAATTTGCCTCTACACGTTTTCCTCTCCTCTCTCATCTTGAGGAGTATGAACGAGGCCATGCTAATATATTCCAGTGGTAGCCATGGAGACGCCAGATAACTGCCGACGTATCAACACTTCTCATTAGCAAGCAATTAGACAGGGCTCGCTTTGAAATGTTACTCAGTGAGAATTTGCTTGACAAGCAAGTGTGCTGGGGTACTGTAAATAATATACAGTGGCTTGCGAAAGTATTCACCCCCCCTTGGCATTTTTCCTATTTTGTTGCCTTACAACTTGTAATTAAAATGGATTTTTGGGGGGATTGTTTCATTTGATTTACACAACATGCCTACCACTTTGAAGATGCAAAATGTTTTTGTTTTTTGTGAAACAAACAAGAATTAAGACAAAAAAACAGAAAACTTGAGCATGCATAACTATTCACCCCCCCCAAAGTCAATACTTTGTAGAGCCACCTTTTGCAGAAATTACAGCTGCAAGTCTCTTGGTGTATGTCTCTATAAGCTTGGCACATCTAGCCACTGGGATTTTTGCCCATTCTTCAAGGCATTACTGCTCCAGCTCCTTCAAGTTGGATGGGTTCCGCTGGTGTACAGCAATCTTTAAGTCATACCACAGATTCTCAATTGGATTGAGGTCTGGGCTTTGACTAGGCCATTCCAAGACATTTAAATGTTTCCCCTTAAACCACTCGAGTGTTGCTTTAGCAGTATGCTTAGGGTCATTGTCCTGCTGCAAGGTGAACCTCCGTCCCAGTCTCAAATCTCTGGAAGACTGAAACAGGTTTCCCTCAAGGATTTCCCTGTATTTAGCACCATCCATCATTCCTTCAATTCTGAGCAGTTTCCCAGTCCCTGCAGATGAAAAACATCCCCACAGCATGATGCTGCCACCCCCATGGGATGGTGTTCCCGGGGTGATGAGAGGTGTTGGGTTTGCACCAGACATAGCGTTTTCCTTGATGGCCAAAAAGCTCAATTTTAGTCTCATCTGAACAGAGTACCTTCTTCCATATGTTTGGGGAGTCTCCCAAATGGCTTTTGGCGAACACCAAACGTGTTTGTTTATTTTTTTCTTTAAGCAATGGCTTTTTTCTGGCCACTCTTCCGTAAAGCCCAGCTCTGTGGAGTGTACGGCTTAAAGTGGTCCTATGGACAGATACTCCAAACTCCGATGTGGAGCTTTGCAGCTCCTTCAGGGTTATCTTTGGTCTCTTTTTTGCCTCTCTGATTAATGCCCTCCTTGCCTGGTCCTTGAGTTTGGGTGGTGCCCCTTGCTTAGTGGTGTTGCAGACTCTGGGGCCTTTCAGAACAGGTGTATATTACTGAGATCATGTGACAGATCATTTGACACTTAGATTGCACACAGGTGGACTTTATTTAACTAATTATGTGACTTCTGAAGGTAATTGGTTGCACCAGATCTTATTTAGGGGCTTCATAGCAAAGGGGGTGAATACATATGCACGCACCCCTTTTCCGTTTTTATTTTTTAGAATTATTTGAAATAAGTAATTTTATTCATTTCACTTCACCAATTTGGACTATTTTGTGTATGTCCATTACATGAAATCCAAATAAAAATCCATTTAAATTACAGGTTGTAATGCAACAAAATAGGAAAATGCCAAGGGGGATGAATACTTTTGCAAAGCACTGTACACAAAAGTAAACTGAGGCTCAGGCTGAGAATAGAGAGGAGAGCTGGAGAGGTCAAGGAACTGTTGAGAGAAGAAGAGGAGTGTTTGACGGGTGAGAAGGCCTTCTCTGGAGTGTATACCTTCACTGTGTAGAGTACACAGTACACACAGTGGTTTGTCGGAGGAGTGAATGAATATGGGCTAATTACTAGTTCACTTTCTGGAGATAATATTTTATTAGGATCCCCATTAGCTACAGCCAAAGCTGCAGCTACTCTGCCTGGGGTCCACACAAAACATAAAACATGACAAAATACAACACATGAATAGACAATTACAGCTAAAGGACAGAACCACATACAATGACATAATACATAACATTAATAGACAGGTACAGAACTACATAAATGTAAAATAAGAATACACACTTTCATATTCTTATGCCTTTTGCACTGGCTCTATGCATACTCACTGCAACCTACCCACACACTCCCACATACTACAGTGCCTTCAGAAAGTATTCATACCCTATGACTTATTCCACATTGTGTTGTGTTACAGCCACTATTCAAAATGGATTAAATGTTTATTTTTTCTCACCCATCTACACACAATACCCCATAATGACATGTATTTAGAAATGTTTGCAAATGTATTGAAATTAAATACAGAAATATCTAATTTACGTAAGTACTGTATATACACCTCTGAGTCAATACATGTTAGAATCACCTTTGGCAGAAATTACAACTGTGAGTCTTTCTGGGTCTATAAGAGCTTTGTACACCTGGATTGTACAATATTTGCACATTATTCTTAAAAAAATTATTCAAGCTCTATCATTGCTAAACAGACATTTTAAAGTCTTGCCATAGATTCTCAAGCCAATTTAAGTCAAAACTGTAACTAGGCCACTCAGGAACGTTCAATGTCGTTTGGTAAGCAACTCCAGTGTTTGGCCTTGTGTTTTAGGTTATTGTCCTACTGAAAGGTGAATTTATCTCCCAGTGTCTGTAGGAAATCAGACTGAACCACGTTTTCCTCTAGGATTTTTCCTTAGCTCTATTCCGTTCCTGAAAAACTCCCTAGTCCTTGCCGATGACAAGCATACCAATAACATGATGCAGCCACCACCATGCTTGAAAATATGAGGAGAAAGTTTATTTCTTTGCAACATATTTTTCAGTTTTACTTTAGTGCCTTATTGCAAACAGGATGCATGTTTTGGAATATTTTTTATTCTGTACAGGCCTCCTTCTTTTCACTCTGTCATTTAGTTTAGTATTGTGGAGTAACTTCACCATGCTCAAAGGGATATTCAATGTCTGCTTTTTTTTTTTACCCATCTACCAATAGGTACCCTTATTTGTGAGGCATTGGAAAACCTCCCTGTACTTTGTGGTTGAATCTGTGTTTGAAATTCATTGCTCGACTGAGGGACCTTACAGATAATTGTGTGTGGGGTCCAGAGATGAGGTAGTCGTAAAACAATTATGTTAAACACTATTATTGCACACAGTGAGTCCATGCAAGTTATTATGTGATTTGTTACGCACATTTTTACTCCTGAACTTATTTAGGCTTGCCAAAACAAAGGGGTTGAATACTTTTTGACACAGGTTTTTCATTTTTAATTAATTTGTAAAAATGTCTAAAAACATAATTCCACTTTGACATTATGGGGTATTGTGTGTAGGCCAGTGACATAAAATCTCAATTTAATCAATGTGAAATGTAGGCTGTAACACAACAAAATGTGGGAAAAGTCAAAGGGTGTGAATACTTTCTGAAGGCACTGTACACTTACACTCCAACACACACATACACACACATAGACTACATACTCACACACACACAAATCACACACATACATGCATATCGACGACAAAATTATAATTCTAACCCTAACACTAATTCTAAACTTAACCCTAAACCCCCTAGAACTAGCATTTGACCTTGTGGGGACTAACAAAATGTCCCCAGTTGTTCACATTTTTGTTTGCTTAATATTCTTGTGGGTACTTCTGGGCCCCACAAGAATAGTTAAACATGTCCACACACACAGAGACACAGACACAGACACACACACACACACAAAAATAGACACACTTTCACACTCTTCACATATGCTGCTGCTACTCTGTTTATGATCTATCCTGATTGCCTAGTCACTTTTACCTCTACCTACATGTACATATTACCTCAACTACCTCGTACCCCTGCACATTGATTCGGTACCGGTACTCCTTGTATATAGTCTCGTTATTGTTATTTTATTGTGTTACTATTTCCTTCTTTTTATTGCACATCTTTCTTACTTTTTAACTCTTCATTGTTGGGAAAGGGCTCGTAAGTAAGCATTTTATGGTAAAGTCTACACATGTTGTATTCGATGCATGTGACAAATAAAATTAGGATTTGATTTGGAATATGTACTCAAAATAACGGCTACACTGCAGTCATCCATATTGTTACAGTTGCTTACTGTTACAATTGCAAGTCCTGATCATAATCTCTCAGAACCAGTTGTTGTGTCAACACTAACGAGAATCTCACAACATTAGGAACCACCCGTGTCCTTGGTCCTCCCGTTTGACGTCAATACTTTTCATAATGAGAGGAGAAATGTGACAATCCAGTAGTGGAGGCTGATGTACTGTCAGTATAGTGCAGATTGTTCTCCAAGCTGGCTTTATATTATGACTTACCTTGCCTGAGATCTCAGGCTCCCAGAGCTAATACCTAGGGTTTACCCAGTGAGCCGTCATCCCAGGTTTGATATCTGGCCGATTACATGGGCCTACTGTAAAGCTTTCTGAGTATTCTTGTAACAACAACAACAACAATGTTTTTAGCCAGGACCCAGTATTATGCCAATTCGCCAATTCACCCTTTGGAGGTACACTGACATAGAACTTATAGTACTAATTTACTAGAGATCTAACTAAAATGTAACCTATACAGTAGTATGAGCACATGGGTAGTATGCAATTCCATGATCAGTCTAGGGAAATAAAATCATAACACAAGTAATACCCCTCTCTCTGCAATATAATTAAACTATGGTAACTCCTTCCCTTTCCTTCCATTAATTTATTCACTGTTTTATCAGCTGATTTTTAATGCAAGAGTAAGATGATATTCTTTGCTTCAGGCCATCCCTAGCTGATAGAACCTTAGTTCAGAGTCGGAGAAGCAACAGATGCCATCAGCATCACAAAGGACAAGCAGGGCCCTAAGCACTGTGGGGAATAAAGTATTAAAGCATAATGTATTCTCATCAGGCTCTGCAATGGTGTGTCATCTGAGAGTCTCAGAAGAGACAGGCAGATAGGCACTGATCTCCTCAAAATAAACAACATTGGCAGTGCTGAAATACATCTGGGCCTGAGTGTACCTCCCCATAGACCCAGAGGACTTATACACTACACACACACAGGCTCGCACGCACACACACATTCACACACACACACACACAACCACACACACACACAGGTCCACCCCCTTCTCGAACACACACTTTCTAGGAATAAACCTACTTTTTTCAGCCCACTGTTCTCTGTGTTGGCATTCCTCCCTATGATAATAAGCCCTGTCTTTATATCTGTGCCTGTAGCCACAGAACCAGAGACTCACAGCTGTGTGTGTATGTTTGTGTGTGCGTGTTTGATTCTATATGTGCGTGTTTGTTGGATTCTGTGTGCGTGTTTGTGTGTCTGTGGATCCCTACGGCGGTTGCTCTAGGGTGAGCCCTGACTCCCAGAGAGCCCCCTCGGGGAGGGGCAGATGACAGTCAGCCACTAATTAGCCTGCTGCCTGGGTGTGAGGCTGATGTAGCAGACAGGGGTGTCATGCACTCCAAAAATCTGAGGGGGCACAAAGTCCGTGAGGATGGCTGGGGGTGGAGAATTTTGCATTTTTCAAACACCTGAAACAGCTTGTTCCTGCACTCTAGAGCCATAATCATTATGCTTAATTCTATGTTAAAAAACAAGTATATATATATTTATCTAAGCATACCTCTTGAGCTGTCTGTATCCTCCTGACTGGTGGTTCTTTATTAAATAAACTAAATATGCTTCTCTGCATCTCTGCTAAAATCTGGGTAAAAGATTGAGAGGATTGGGAGTCTTATTCAGTACATTTAGTTATTGCTTGCTTTTCTAAAGTCTGCCAACCTTGCCAGCAGACATGCAAGCTACGATAGCTACTCCAACTTGATTGATAGCCTGAAATGGCTTCTTGGTAGCTAGTTATGAGGTTGGGAGATTGGGAACCTACAGTATCTGGGCTAGCTAAAGCCAACTTCATAAAATTGCTAGATGGCTAGTAGTTTTAAAGATAAACAATTATCTTTAAAAACAAATCTGAGGGGGCACATGCCCCTGTGCTCCCTGTGGGCATGACACCTCTGGTGGCAGAGGTGGCAAGGGTGGCAGGGGAGCAGGGTGGTGCCCAGGAAGGAAGCCATCAATCTCCAATCAGGACTCATGAGGTGGTCGAGGTGGAGAGAGGGAGGGAGAGAGGGTGGGAAGAAGAGAGATGGAGGGAGAGAAAAAGGGAGGGTGGTATCCATGTCACAGTGGAAGGGACAGATAGAGGATGGAGGCCATGGGGAGTGAGAGACTATAAAGTAGTGCAGTGGATTTTACTAAATACATTTTTATTTCAAAGTATTTAAAGGTTGAGTAAGTAATATCAGAAGCTAGAAGATTCACTTCTTACCAACAACAGCTGCAAATCTCAATAAAACTACACCACGTTTTAAAGTTCACTTTCATTGCTTTAATAAAAACACTATGAATGAATCTAGCAAATTCAGTTTTGTGGTCAGAGCGCAGTATTTATTTAGTTTCATAGCACAAATGTTTGCTAGCAAGTCTTTCAAACTGGCTTGAGCCAGAGCCTGCCTGGGCAAGTCCAAGGGGGTTGCCTAGCAACATGTGCCTCGGAGGGAGGCAACGTCTGCATAGCCTGACAAATTCTCATGATTTGGGAATCTGTTTTTACTGAACAGCTAGTGTGACACCTAAAATGGCTTTGGAAAAAAAAGCTGCACAGTGATAACGACACCTTTTGTTTAAGTGGCAAAGACTGAACATTCAGCCTCTTTCTCTCTCTCTCTGAGATCAGATGGATTAGCATCAAGTTTAGTATCCAGGTGCTGTTCATAATTACATGCAAAGCAAATGCCAACAAAAAATAAGTGTCGCTGTACTTTGAGATCATTTTCAAAGCTACGACAATGACTTTGAAAAAAGTAATTAATCCATTTGCATTTGAAACTGCTCAGCAATCCTGTTCCTCGAATACGCTGCCTCTCCATCCACCTTTTCTCTCTAGTCATCCCAAAGGACAAACAGCTGTCAACATTCAAGTGCTGCCACAGTACAGTCAAAGTCACCTCTAAACTATGTTGTCCCAGGGACATCATACCTAAACTGCTCAAATCATTATCCTCTATTAAGGAGTCAGAGGGAATAAAAACCGAGAAATCCCAGAGGGAATAAAAACCGAGAAACCCCAGAGGGAATAAAAACCGAGAAACCCCAGAGGGAATAAAAACCGAGAAACCCCAGAGGGCATTCAAGGAGCGGAACCTGTCCTTTATCAACCTCACTGTCCCATCTCTTCTCTGATGAATGGGACATAATTGATACAGAGTGTGCACCTGAAATGGCACTACACAGTATGTGGGCCCTGGTCAAAAGTAGTGCACTATATTTCAGACATAGTCAGGGTTTTGTGGCCTTTAAACCTGTGATGTGAGATGCCTGTTAGTCACTCAGTCCAAGTCCAGAGGAGGAGGAAAGGAGGAAGTGAACAGCATGCAGCCAGCAGGTTCCTGTATTATTAATGCAGAGATGCAGATGACTGAGGGAGATCTTCTGGAGCAGCAAGCTGGACACCACTACTGGCTGCGGCCCCTGGTACTGATTACACACCTCTGCCAAGCCCTTCCCCCACACACACACACACACACAGACACACGCAGAGCAACACGCATCAGGCACGCCGACACACACTCACCACATATATGCCCAAAACAATCAGCACACACACTCACATGCTCTAAACACACTGGTTACACATGCATATTCCAGATACCACACTCATGACACATCATACACTAATTCACCACGAGCACATCCTACAGTCACCACACGCTCACATGTTCCAGACACATTCGCCACAATGAACATACTACTGGAGTGAGAGAGCATGTTTGACAGTAATACATGAGGAATATGTAAGTGTACTAGCACAGCAGAGAAACATACGTACCGCATGGAGTGGATTGCCCTGATCGATGGGGACCTTAAAGTCTGCCTGCAGCTCATCAAAGGCTGTTATCTGAGAGAGAGAGAGAGAGAGAGAGAGAGAGAGAGAGAGAGAGAAATAAATAAAATTGTTTTAGTTCTCTGCCTGCATCAGTGTTTATCACTCACAGTGGCTGTGGCTGTGGCTGTGTCAGTGGATGTAGCTGTGTCAGTGGTTGTATAGGCTGTCTGGAAGCTAGTACAGCGATCACAGCACAGCATGACAAACCGGATCAATCAGACAGACAGAGCTGCATTAGGACTAGGACTAGAAGCAGTGCTAGTAATCGCATAGGAGGGTATTGTCCTACAGCTGTCATTACATGTCTATTCCCTGTGACCATACAGCGGCACAGCAGAGGCAGAGAGTGGATGTGTTTGCATGTATGTAAGTCCTTAGGATCATGTGTATTTATATATTTTTGGTGATACACAAACACAAAAACACACACACAGCCAGCCAGCCATATCTCCCTGTGGTGTGATTCTGGCAGGCTCTACTGTGTGTTGATGCTCCCTCAATTCTTCACGGGCCGATGGCAAACAACATGGATGGACTGTTTGTAATCACCTGGGGCAGTGGGGTGTGATGAAGGGATGGAATATTCTGGAAATCCACGCTATATATTCATGCTTATCATCCTCATCATATGAGGTGACGTCCTGTAAGCACACGGTTGACATCATGCCACCTTTGGCTGGTTTCAAAACTCTTTGAATTCAATGTTGCCTAAACTGGCACAGTAACACTTTCTGCTGACCAGGTGTAAACATACATTCATACATGGCAAGCATGGCTGGCCACGCTTGGTCCACAGACACTATGGTCGACTGGCAACTCAACTGTTATCTGCTTGTTTGTGGAAGACCCTGACCCTCTTTGAACACATTCCCTACCTTACGTCACTGCCATTCTACTTTAGGCATTCATATAGAAATAATTACATTAAAAATAACACCTCAACCTCGATGCGGAGAACATCAATTCTGATGAAAAAGACTACAAGTTCAATGTTAATAATTGAGCAGCTATGGTTAATTATTCAGGAGGATTTTTAACCGCCTGAGATGGGTTAATTTTCTCATCAACCCTGTGCAGAATAAAGTTAAATGGGTTGATAATTGGGTGCAGTACATCTCTATGACTGGAAAGGAAATCATGGACTGACAGGTCTGGTCTGGTCTGCTCACAGTCACATTCATTGCAGGCTGATGCCCCAAATCAACTCACTAAACTGAATACCAACAAAATGTCTGACGTGCCCAGTGCAACCGCTTGGAAGCTTCACAAACGGTTCCTCGGTGGGTGGAGATTGCCCATTTGGGGATTGCTGCTCTTTTTGAAGTGGCTGCAGGCAGCAGAACTACATGAGGGAAATGCACTTTATACTGTGTGTTTTTATTTATTTCCTGAAGATTCCTATCAAGATTTTTTTTTTTATGGCATTGGCTCCATATGTGGGACTGGACGTTTCTGCTTCTTCATGGTTGACTGGCCTTAAAAACATGCTCACATCTGTATAGGCCTACAGTATATCTCCAAAGACCAGCATGGCAAGTAACATTTTAGTTTTTTCCCCCTGGCTAAGAACAACAAAACCCCACCTCCTCTTGCCAGGAAAATGGGTTTCATAATCACAACAATTTCATATATACAAGGCAATATAACATACAGTGAGAAACAATGTAACTTAATGTAATTGATGTCACATTGATGGATGAACAACCTATGAGGGATTAATGAACGTGTGGGACTATGTGCAACCAACCACCAAGGCTGAGTTTACACAGGCAGCCCAATTCTGATCTTTTTTCCACTAATTGGTCTTTTGACCAATCACATCAGATCTTTTCTCATCAGATCTTTTTCAGAGCTCATCTGATTGGTCAAAAGACTAGTTAGTGAAAAAGATATCAGAATTCGGCTACCTGTTTAAGCGCAGCCCAACTGAACTAAACCCAAGCTGACTCTTATGTCTTATGTTACTCACAGCCTCAAAGATCAAGAGAAATGTTCTTAAACTGCACATAGATTGAAATTTGGAGCAAGATGTCCTTTCAACATTTACATTTACGTCATTTAGCAGACGCTCTTATCCAGAGCGACTTACATTATTTTTTTTCATACCCCCTGTGGGAATCGAACCCACAACCCTGGCGTTGCAAACGCCATGCTCTATCAACTGAGCTACATCCCTGCCGGCCATTCCCTCCCCTACCCTGGACGACGCTGGGCCAATTGCGCGCCGCCCCATGGGTCTCCCGGTCACGGCCGGCTACGACAGAGCCTGGATTCGAACCAGGATCTCTAGTGGCACAGCTATCACTGCGATGCAGTGCCTTAGACCACTGCGCCACTCAGGAGACACATAATAGCATGCTCTGAGGACAGTAGCATTGAGTGGAGGAGCATGGGAGTCAGTGTGAAGGATCATTAGACCTGTGAATGTTCTGTATTTGCTGGAGGAACCAGCATGAGGCACACATTAAAGCAGCAGGACAGAAACCATGCATACATATGACTCCTTCATAGTTTCCTACTATGCTTACTGTAATGTAACCGCCATCCACTAAAAGCATCAGAAAAACTAAAACAACAATATACTGTATAGCCACAATGAAAGTGAATGATGTTAACTTAACATATGCCCTCTTTGCCAATGGGACTCTCTCTACATATCATATGGGCATGGGGGGTTTTCCCATAAATCACTGGATTCACAGGAGTCCTTCACATCGCGATAATGAAACTCATAATACATTAGGGGCTCTGCTACATGGAGGGAAATCACTCAACCATTTTGTGTCGGTGAGTGAGGAGCTGAGCAGAGCGCAGGAGAACACAGTTCATCTGGTATGTTAATTTAAATGCCCCCTAATCAGTTACAAGCAGTCCCAGGAGTGATGGTGTAACCGAGATTACATCATTGATTACTGATCATTCAATCTGGACAGAAGCTAGATAGCTAACCAGTGAGGTGGGATTTTCCTTCCACAGACAGAGTGACTTTTAAGCGCATTGAATGAGATTATCTTGTCATTGATCAACCTTGAACATGTGTTAAGCTAGATAGAGTCGAGGGTTTCAGCTTAGTCAATGAACTTGACGACTGAACGTCAGCTTGTCTTTGTCACTAACATAAAAGTATCTTTCACTGCTATAGATACAACCTTTCAGAGTCCCCCAAAGCCCAGAAGGGGGAGTGCTGTGCGGTCTGGACATGTAAAGAAGCATCATCACTGAAACGACAGCTCAACCAATCATATCCATCAGTCAATGTAGTGTCTGATAGGGTTCTCATCAGTCAGCCCATAGTACAGTACATGCCCTGTGAGAGATGAGGCCACCTGTTAACAGGCAGTGATTAATGACAAGACATGTCCTGATATTCCAAACGTCATTCCGTCTGACTACCTTCCTCTCTGAGGGACACATACAGTTTAAATATGAGAGCTTAGACAGAGGAATTTCAAGCTTGTCAGGAGAGTAAATAGGAAGATATGTAAGGAAAGGGGATTCCTAATCAGTTGTACAACTGAATGCATTCAAATGAACTGTGTCTTCCACATTTAACCCAACCCCTCTGAATCAGAGAGGTGTGGGGGGCTGCCTTAAATGACATCCACATCATCGACGCCAGGGGAACAGTGGGTTAACTGCCTTGCTCAGAATGACAGATTTGTACCTTGTCAGCTCCGGGATTCAATCTAGCAACCTTTCGGTTACTGGCCCAATGCTCCTACCTGCCGGGGTACCTGCCGTTACATGTTACAGGGCATGTTACACCAGACAGGTCCACAAAGAAAAAGCAGAACTGTCATACACCTGTCAAGTAGAGGGAGAAGATAATTGGCAGGAGAATTAGATGTAAGATAATTAATAAAATCCCACTGGGCACAGACGTCAGTTCAACGTCTAGTTTTGATTTACATTTGGTTGAGTTGTCAACTAACTGTGAATTCAATGTGAAATCAATAACAAATGTCACCATGTCATTGGATTTAGGTTAAAGGCTGGGTGAATAAAATACTACATTCCCTTATGTTAATGACTTTTTGCAAATCCAATCAGTTTTCCACATTGATTCAACATCATCACATTGACATTTTTGGTTGAAATTATTTGGAAACAACTTTGATTTAACCAGTTTTTGCCCAGTGGGATGGATATTTACTGTAGCATGTATGGGCACATTTCAATGTCAGAGTGTATGGGATCATGTATTACAATTACTCAGATGATGTCTGGATGACAGGCATGCTGTCATGTGAAAAGGGCTGGTAATTAAAACCCATTTATTTGACTATGCATGTGCCCTCATGCCATGTAGACTGCATAACAGGCTATTCTGAGTATGCTCACTTACAGTGAGTTCTGTAGCTGTTTCTGTAGCTTTTGCCTGTCTTTGTGAATGAAAATCAGGCTGCTAGAGATATCGCCACCCTGCCATCAGAAGCATTGCGGTTCACATAAGTCTCAGTTGGTTGGAACATGGTGCTTTACAAGACCACAGTTGGGCCAGATATATTGAATGTACTGTATGTATGAGCTGTAAGTTATTTTGGATAACAGTGTGTGTGTGAAATTACCCCATTACAGTATATTACAGTAATATCAACAGAATGAATGGCATAAGCCCTATGTTATTCTATTCCTGAGTTGTAGGCAGTCTCCTTATAGACTAGATGGGATCTGTCCAATGCTCTGTACACCACATGGGCCTGACAGACAGACAGACAGACAGACATATACCATGCCTCCATTAAGCCTGGGCTCAGAAGTCAACCTGAAGCTCCCCTTCAGTCTCAGGTCTATTGCTATGCAAAGGCGCGACGGTCGCCGGGGGCCAAGTGCTGTGTGACCAGACCCAAATATTCCTTTACATAAAGTTCCGCAGGAGGGCGCAAGGGCTTTCAGAGTAAATCATTATATTATCAAAATATTGTAATGCGTTCTTATTGGCGTTCCCGGTTGGTTTGAATAAAGACAATAACACACAGATAAAACTGTGTGGGGGGAGAATTCGTCTCAGTGGGTTAGAACAGTGTGTCCAACGTCTCTAACATATTTCCCAATCGATTGCACAGAGGTGCATGATGCCCAGTCAAGTGAATTATTGTAAAACCTTTTGATGAAACCATAGCAAAAAAATCTGCAATAACAAAATAAAACCGATATGACCATTTAGTACAATGAAGTGGAAATGCAAGCCAAGAGTGGT